ACTGGAAGTGAGAGCTCATCCAAAAAAAAAAAAAAAAAAAAGAGAAAGATAAAAGAAAAGAAATCTGGTAGGTATTTATCTTCTTCTCTATCAGTTCTTCTAGTAGTTCTTCAGATTCTGAAGAGGAGGATAAAAAAACAAGGAAACAGGAAAAAGAAGAAACATTCACATAAATTTTTTGAAAGCTCTGCATCAGAAACTGAAGTGGACAGTAAGGATAATTTATAAAAGAAGTCAAGGGCTGCCTGGGTAGTTCAGTTAGTTGAGTGTCTGTCTAGCTCTTGATTTTGGCTCAGGTCATGATCTCAGGGTCCTGGGATCAAGCCCCATGTTGGACTCTGTGCTCAGTGAGGAGTCTGCTTGAGATTCTCTCTCTTCCTCATGTATGTATACTCACGTCCTTGCTCTAAAATAAATAAATCTTAAAAACTGTTAAAAAATACATCAAAGTATGCAAATGAGAAAAGAAAAGGACATGAAAGGACTCAGTAAAAAAAAAAAAAGAAAAAGATGAATTCTGATGATAAACCTTTGTCACTGGAGTACGTATCAGAATCAGATTATATTGAGGAGGTTTGGGCAAAAAAGGAAGCAATGAAGAATAAGAAAAAGTAGCAGTAAGAAAAAAAAAGAAAAAGAAAAAGAAGCATATAAAACATGGTAAGGAGAAAAAGAAGGCTGCAGTTCAAGTCCTGACTGGCCATAACATTATAAGAAAAATCAGGATTCCCTTATAAAGAAAGAGCTATGTTTAAGGAAATTTCAACTGTGAGAATCAAGACATAATTACAAAAATGCATGAATGTTCCTGTTTTTCGAATTAGTCCTGGACTATTCAGTACCACACAGATGCTGCTGTGTGAAAGGGCCATCATTGTTGCCTGCTGCTTGAACATCTATTTTTTTCTCTTCCAGGACTTACCAACTCTGGGAGATAGTACACTACCAGTTGTGCTAGTCGTTAAGATATTTGGGGATAAAGTTAACATTTTTGACTAGAAGTGTGTCACGATAAATCAAAGAAGTTGAATCTGGATACATCATTAAGATGTAATCAGAAATGACCCAATGACTCCACAGAACATTTTTGAAATAGGGATCACATTGATATTTCAAAATCCGTACTCTATAGATAAGTGTATTTTAATTTCCCCCCTTATATACTTTTATTTATCTGGGGAAGGAGCTTTTGTGGGGGGGCAACCTCTTCAGATGGCAGAACAACATGCCTATTTATTTACTTATTCGCTCGTTTGTTTGTTTGTTTATTTATTTATTTTTATGATAGACATTGAGAGAGAGAGAGAGAGAGAGAGAGAGAGAGAGAGAGAGGCAGAGACACAGGAGGAGGGAGAAGCAGGCTCCATGCCAGGAGCCCGACATGGGACTCGATCCCGGGACTCCAGGATCGCGCCCTGGGCCAAAGGCAGGCACCAAACCGCTGAGCCACCCAGGGATCCCCGAATAGCATGCCTCTTATATTCACACATCCAATTTCTGCGGACGTATAGCCATGCTTCATGGGGAGGTCAGAGCTGGGCATAGCAATCTTGCCCTCTGACATTCTTGGACTCTGTCATTTGCTGCTTTATTTATTTATTTGTTTGTTTGTTTGTTTATTTATTTATTTTTCATTTGCTGCTTTAAATGAACCAAAGAAACAGCCCTTTGTGGCATGACAGTGCCACAAAGCATCTGGAATTTAGCTCCACTTCAATAATATTGAACGCTTTTTAGCATTAGAAAGTTTTACAACATTTGAATTAATTTTGACTACAGTTTGGCTTTGGAGAGGAATATTTCAAATAGACACTACTTTTTGAGCCTGACTGCTAAATATTCTAAAATGTATGTTTTATACTGTTAAGTTTTAACTAGTCAGGAATATTTTATGTAACCAGTGATAGTTATTTTTGTATGAATTTTGTTTAGGTTGTAATGTTTAGCTTTTATTAACTCTTGATTTTTGCTATCTTAAATTTCTTGCTGTGTTTAATGGCATACTTGCCAAGACACTTAGCAGGTAAAAAACAAAACAAAATAAAAAAGCCCAGGCTTTTGACTTTTTTTTTTTAAACAGCTTCATCTTGAGGCTGAGACTTATGATAAATAAGTCGAGTGGCAGGTCTGGTATGTTATGTCTTACTACAAAAAGCAATTGCCAGAATCTTAGTAAACACAACATTTTAACAAGTTGCCTTTGTATATTCATAACAAATTATGACAAGTGGGAATTATATTATGCTCTTCCTGTGTCATATTTTACTATGATTTTGTACCTCATATCTTCTGCTGAGCTGTTTATTAGTAATATTAAATGGAATTGAAAAATCATTTTTACTTTATATTTTTACACAATTAGGTAACATGAAATATAATTTGACGTACAATTTTGCCTGTTAGAGAGGGTGTGCTAATTATAGTGGTATATACATAAAATATTTTGGCATGACAAGAAGCTGAATAAATATTTCACTTTAAAAGAAAAGAGCTGTGATCCATAAAGAGCTGATTTTATGTAAGATGAAATGTTTAGGTTGAAGTTCATTTATTTGTCTATAGTTGTTCAATTGTTCCAGCACTACTTATTTGAAAAGGCTATCCTTCTTCCACTGAATTAACTGTCTTTGTTTCTTTGTCAAAAATCAGTTGGACATATTTGTGTGGTTCTATTTCAAGGTTCTTTATTCCATTCCTTGATCTGTGTATATCCGTCCACCAATAACCACAAAGTCTTGATTGCTGTAGCTAAACAGTAAGTCTTAACATTGTGTACAGTGATTCTTCCCACATTACTCCTCTATTTCACACCAGTTATAGCTATTCTAGAATCTCTGCCTTTTTGTATAAATTGTAGAATAAGCTTGTCTGTATCTACAAAAAAAATCTTGCTGTGATATTTAAATTTTTATAATTGGGTTAAAAAATATTTAAGGTAAAATTTACTGTTTTACCCACTTTTAGGTGTATGATTCAGTACTCTTAAGCACAGATGCTGCAAAGATTGGAGGATAGTGTGAAAATCACTTTGTGTCAATACATTTGAAAAAATGAAATAAGTTAATGCCTAGAAAAAATTATCTTAAATGACTGGAACAGAAAGAGAAAATCCAAAATATCTTATAACTTTTAAAGAAGTTGAATCAACAGTTAAAAAAAAAATCTCCACAAATAAAATACTAATGATTTTATAAGAGAGATCTACCAAGTATTCAAGGTTCACATAATTCTAATCTTATATAATCTCTTCCAGAAATGAGAAAGCTCCTCAATTTATAATTATTAACGGTTAATTTAACCTTGATATAGAAACCGAACAAGGACAGCAAAAGAAAACAGGATGAATGGTGATGTCATTCATTGAGAAAGGAAGCATGGGCCTTGGGGTTAGGGTCACAAGAGTGACTAAATGCTGATGGCAGGAGCTTGTGATCGTCCAATTAGAGCTGTCTAGGCAGCAACCAAGAATACTGGTCTGCAGTGCTCGTTGAAGCTGAGCTGGAGACAGAACCGAGGATCACTAGTACAGAAATAGAACCATAAGTCCTACAACAGTGGGATGGAATTACAGGGAAACTGGGATGAAGACTAAAGAGAACCAATGCCTGATTCCCAAACAACCTCAATGTTTAAGGAAGGAGATTCTCTAAAGAGCCTGGTCAGAGGATGTGGCGAGCGGAGGAGGTTTTGCAGCGGGCTGATAGGTGAGTAGATAAGAGGAAACACAAATGGGGAGCCAACACCACAAGAAGGCTGGCTGAGGAGAGAAGCAGGAAGTGTGTAAGATTAAAGGGAAAAGCAGGAGGACACCTGGGTGGCTCAGCAGTTGAGCATCTGCCTTTGGCTCAGGATATGATCCCAATCCTGGGATCAAGTCCCGTGTCGGGCTCCCTGTAAGGAGCCTGCTTCTCTCTCTGCCTATGTCTCTGCCTCTCTCGCTGTCATGAATAAATAAATAAAATCTTTAAAAAAAGAAAATAAAGGGAAAAGCAGATAGAGGATGAACACATTTGTGGACCATCTAGACAGAAAGGGAAGCGGCTGGTGAGAAAAAAAACACAACACAGAACATATTCCCACATTCCAGGAATGAAAAGATTGTTCTTTAGTCATCCTCCCAAGGGATGAACACAAAACCACCAGGATTCAGTTGCACACCCATCCTAACTGATCAGTAATGGCTTGCTTCTGAGAGCCGGCAAATGGCCACAGACCAAGCCCGGGACCACGCTTCTACGGCTAAAGGCACACCAGTCCCTGAAAATCCACCCAACCCTGAATTCCACATTTACCCAAAATAGAGGGGGTATACGCAAAAAGTACTGAGGCAAGGCCTGGAGAGCAAAATAAGGCCATGCATCTTGGTCTTTAAGAGGGAGTCCACTGGTCCCCTGAGAACAGAGAGAAGGTTCGAGGCTGGTAACATCGGTGGCAGCAGCAGGTCAAGTCACATACCGAAAATCTGAGATGTGCTACATGATCTGTCTAGGAGAGGCCAGGACTCACACCCACATCTGTCTGACCACAGGGCCTATGCTTTTACATGCAACCTTATGCTGCCATGCACCACACTCTATCTTCCTTTAAAGATGCCATAAATGCTGTGGCATCTTTTTGTATGGCACTCCTCACACTGACTCACTGGTTTCAGTGTGTTTGCTTCATTATACCCTCCTAATTCACTCCAGAACAGAAGCTCTACAGGCTTTTACAGGGCAAGTGCTCAGTGAAGAGAGATGAATACAGCTATAATTAACAAATTTGTAACAGGCCAACTTGCTTTCAAAAGTGCTTATAAGTCTCTTTCTTAAGTGATTTAAGCCATCCCTACCACAACCTTCTTTATGGTGTTCGTGTGCTTGGCACTCTTCTGCCATAGATACTACAAAGGCAAAGCAGTATCATATGCCTCATTTACCTCAAGTTCCAAATTAGTGGATTGAGTCTCCACTGGAGTGATTTCAGTATATCTGCAGGTTGAGACCAAAAACACTTCTTACCTGAATTTTGATGGGCCAGGTGAAATTACTGACATAAACGAAGAAAGTGATATTTGGGTGGTTGCGAAAATCGAACTTCTCATTAGAAAAGCTATCTTTGTACTCCTTAATGTTGGTTTTTGAAACAACAGGCATCTCTTCTCCAGCCTGGGTTCCCGCTATCAGGAAGAAAAGAATGAAATGCAAGAGTCTTTTTTTTTTTTTTCTGGACAGAATCTGCCCTCATTAATAATAACAGCATGTACTGAACATATTGCATTCCAGGAATAGCCTCTGAGAGTACAACCTCATTTAATTCTAACAATAACTCTTATTATTCTCATTTACAGATCAGAATACTGAGGTTCGGAGAAACTAAGTAACTTGATTCAGGTCACATAGCCAGGAATAAGCAGAGTTGAGATTTGCAGTGGGAAGGCTGATATGCAAGGCTGTGCCCTTAACTAGAATGGTTCTGCCAGGAGGCTCTGCAACTCCTCTCCACCTCAACGGATGACACATAGTTGTGAAAATGCAGATACCACTAGAATCCCATTAACAAACAACAGCTTTCATTCTGCATGGAGCACTTAAACTGCTTTGCATTTCCCCTTTAGACCTGTTTGTCCATGCTTCTGATCTCCCATGCCAGAGACACTGATTCACCTCCCACTTCCTAACTACCAGTGACCTCATGTCTCAGCAACAGGAAGGAAGGAGCTCTAGAGGGTCACTCAGTCCCTTCTGCTATCAGCTACAACTGTATTTAAACCCCCCAATTGGTATAAACCCATCCTACTTCCAAATGGTCCTTCAACATTCCATATTCTCCCTCAGCCAGGAATTCTGGTGTCTACAAAGATTCATAAAATAGATTTTTTCTATGTCTGCATTAACTTGAGTGTGACTTGAGTCCAGACTGCTGGGTGCTCACTGAAAATAATCATTGAAAAGCATTCACATGTTCAGAGATGTTGCCCTTCTCCCAGTGTTCTGATAATTCAGACTTTCTCTTCAAAGTGTTTCCTTACTGCAAGTTTCCATACCTTTTCTGAATTCCATACAATCTTTTAAAACATGATAACATAAGACATGCAAAGGTAATGTTTAATTTTGCTTCAGTCTAACTGGTTGTGTTTTGAACAAAAACTAGTACTGGAAGACTAATGATAAAGAAGCACAGTTTTAGCATCCAATGAGATACCGCTGTGTTTCAAGCACTATGTGAACTACTTCCTTTATTGTCTCATTGTACCATCCCATGTACAGCTAGATGTTTCTTGCATTCCCTGTATCCATGAGGAAAGTGGCTCAGAAAGCTTAATCTACCCAATTGTACAGTGCAGCATGGGTGGTAACAGGCAGAGTTCAAACCCACGTTTGTTGAGCTACGTTTGTAGGCACTACATCAGGCCCACCTGTTAGATCCTCAGTAGATCTTTTGCCCAGATCTTCTTTAGTGAATTGCAGCAACACAGATGGGAGCAAACACTATGTTCTTCAAGCCTGATTTAATTCCCAAAGTATACTTCCCTGTGTCTACCAAGATCTCATTCTATTTTATTTTATTTTTTTTCATTCTATTTTAAATATTTCCATTTCTTGAAACTCTTGAGTCATTTCCATTTTCCATTTCTGAAGCCTGAACAGGGATGACGATGGGAGTGCCAGAGCAGTGTCTGCAGCAGTGCTATCATAGCTGATAGCAGGGCAGGGGTGATGAGCATGAACTGAGCCTGATACCACTGGAGGTGCTAGCATGTATAACCTGATATAATCGACCCAACAATTCTAGGAGATAAGTATTGCTATCTTTTCTTTATGACAGATAACATTACCTAAGGTCTAGAAAGGTGTTTGGACACTTGTTCAAGGTCTCCTAGGTAATCAGTGGCAAAGGTGGGTTTCAAGCCCATCTGTCTCCAGAGCCTCTTTTCTCAACAACTACATTCTATTTCTCAATCTGTTACCAATCTACTCCACTTGGAAGATCTTCTCTAGTTATGTCTTTACCTGAGAAGCTGGCAGCCCAGGTGATGTTGAGGTTGAAGTTTTTGGAGGCATTGATGAACATGTCCAAATCCCTGTTTTGCTGATGAGCAGTGCAAATAGTTAGAAAATTAATTACAACAGTTTTCAGATTTTAAAATAAAGTAGTAATTAAAATTTGCTATTCTCAATTTTCTTAACTACAAAACAGATATTTTACAGTGTCTTAAAAGAAACTCACACTTGTAAGAGAGTAACATTTCTGACCAACATAAACAATACATCCCAAATAAATTTCATTTCTCTCCCATAAATGTGTAATTTAATGCTTATCAAATGCCTAACTCCATAAAAAAGTATGTTTTAAAAAAGTCCCTGACCAGAGCACGATGACTTAAATCCTATGACCTATGTTAAGGGAGTCAGCCTCCTAAGGATCCTCTGGGCAGCTGTTTCCAAATGTCTGGAGAGCTCACGCTGATAAGTAAACACTGAACCAAGTCCTCAGTTTATGTGTATTTATAAATTAAACCTATGTACTTCTGAACTGATAGACTACATACAGTGTAAAGTTCTCCAAAGTGAAAATGGTTTTTAAAAAAAGCATAAAAAGCTGAAATAAAGTAACTTAAAAAAATATTTTGACTGTATTCATTCAAGATTTAAAAAACATTTTTCTCTCACTAAAAATATTATTTCTAGAGAAATATGACTGAATTTTTTTATTAGCTTTGAAAACCTTACTTGTCTCTTATCGAGATACAATAATTTGAAGAACTAGTTTAATTTATTTGATTCTTGGTTGAATGACTGAGAAAGAAATCTCTGGGAAATGTGCTGAGCCAACAGATAAAAGTGCACTACTGGGTACACTGGGTAAATTGTAATACTAATTTTTAGTTTTCACTGAAATTTGACTAACCTCTTTCTTGTGGTCAAATAATTATTTTTGCTAATGAATCAGATGTTGTATTTTTATATTTTATAAATGGACCCAATCCTGCTGAAATTCTTCATCTTGAGAGACCAAAAAACAAATGAGAACAACAGATTTTTAAGGGTGTTGTTTTGATGGTATTTACAGCACAAAATCATAACAATGGAAACATTTCCAAACAGTGATTTTGAAACCAGAAGTTTCTCTCTCAAAGCAGTTAATTACCTTCTTGTTTATTGATATAATCTCACCTTCCTCTTGCAGGAGAAGCTCAAGTGTTTGTTTATTTTTAATATATGCTGGAAGAACACTACTAACAATTACTTGTTTCCATGGAAAGGATCAATAAACTTGTGCTTTAATAAAAGACAGAACATACACTTTAGCTAACACTATGAAATATTCTGTCATAAGAAAACAGGGAACTCCAAAGAGGTCAAAAGATTTTCATGATCACTCACCTTATTAAGATGTATTACCAATAGTTTATTATGTTTATTTAAAATAAAATTAACAACATCAATTACTTTGTGAAAGACTAAGTATTTCAACCACCTGCTTATGAATAAAATATCAAATAAATTTCATGTGTGGCACTTTTGCTATAATCTTATCCTAAAGTCTTTTTTTTTTTAATTCCAGTCAACACAGCCATTCAAATGATGTGATACACAGTCTGTGCATATAATATTTTCATTTAAGGTTATTTATTATTTTTACTTAAAAAGAAATTCACTATCTAATACATTTCTTCTTAATTTTATTATTAAAATGGAATATAAAAACAGAACCTACTTTCATATAATTGTAAACATTCCACACTCTGGATTTTGTTCTGCTATTAATTTATTTTTTAGATTTAGCAATGTTTGTTAACAATAACATTTGTTAACAAAGAAATATAACCTGGCTTACTGTCATATTATTTTCCATGAATTATTCATCATGTTTATTGTGACAGGAATTTTTTAATGCTTTGTGTATGTTGATGAGAAATAAGAAACCATTAAGGAAGTTCCTAAATAATTTATCATCAAGTTTAGTAAAATTTCATTATTTACTGGAGTGGCCATTGACTTCATATTTCGTTAAAGAAATCGTATAGGTATGTCTTCATGTTTCAGACATTTCACTTTTAAATGTCATGCTATATTGGCTCCCTTCTACCATCAGGTAGTACCTTATGTCAGGATAGGGTTCATCATTAATGAAAGTAGATATAAATCTACCTTTCAATTAGTTGTCCTAATAATTCCAATTATTTCAGGTTAACTTCTGGTTTGACCTGACTACATCTTCACTGTTTTTACCTCCTAATAAGGCTAACAACTTTGTCTGGGTACAGATCACCTCAGCAGCCTTCCTTACAACACTGGTATTAATTTCACTCTGCAGTCTTTTTGCAGATATTTGTTAACTCTGGTCTGTTTTGAGAGAGTAAATCTGGGCCGTGCTATGTGCCCCACTGATGGGGGAAGTCCCCTTCCGGTCTCCTCTCCTTTTCTGTGGGAGCTGCGATGGGCTGATGGAAAAGCAAGTATGTGTGGAGTCAGTGGCAGTCTGGGTATCAGATCCTGGTAAATCTGAACAATACCATTCTGGCCTCTGAGATGGACAGGAGATAAAGTGTAGATTCTAACATTTCTTTCCTGAACCTCTAAACATAGTCCTGTGTACTCCACTCTGAAGGCTACTGCTAATGCAGTGCTTCTATTCACAAAGATCAAGAAAAAGATCCACACGAATTCAAAACAAAGCAAGAAAACTTTTAAAATCTTACTTCATCGGGAGTAGCCACAAAATTGATGGCTGTGTAATAGCGGTCATCTTCCTGGGACAGGCTAAAAGTGAACTGATAGTCAATAAGAAGAGTATCTATGGAAAGAAAGAAATGCATATTTAAAAATTAAAACAAAACACAACAGGTCTCTAGAGATACAGATTGATTTTCTTCTAAATATTCAATAGCCAGGAAACATGTAGCTCATTTATACCTGGAGGCTGGGAGGCTTTTCAAAGGAAGTCAAGTCTGTGGGCAGTATTGTTTTATTTAGAATAACCTATCAAACTCTCTTTACATCATGATCCTGATTGAGATTTTAGGCTCTAACCTAGCTCACCTGCAAATATTAATTGTAGCTCTATTATATGCTAGGTTTGCTTAGGGATTCAAAGTTACAAATTTTTTTTAAAGATTTTATTTATTTATTCATGAGAGACACACAGAGAGAGAGGCAGAGACACAGGCAGAGGGAGAAGCAGGCTCCATGTAGGGAGCCCAATGTGGGACTCGATCCTGGGACTCCAGGATCACGCCCTGAGTGGAAGGCAGACGCTCAACCATTGAGCCACCCAGACGTCCCCAAAGTTATAATTCAATGGTATAAAAGAAACTAAGACTCCATGGAAAAATGGTTGATTCCAGGTCTGGGGCAATGAATATGTGCCTTGATTACTTATTTTTGAAAGCAAGAAAGTCTTCAAAGACTAAAGTGATGTAGCAAAAGACAACAGCTTTAAAGAAAGCCTACTGGGCAAAGATGGTGGAATTTTCTTTTTTTTCTTTTTTTGGTACAAAAAGGTGGTTTTATTAAACCACAAGGACAGGACCTGTGGGCAGAAAGAGCTGCCCAAAGATGGCATAATTTAATTCTAAAAAGTCAATTGTAAAAAATAAAATAAAATAAAATAAAATAAAATAAAATAAAATAAAATAAAATAAAATAAAATAAAAAAAGTCAATTGTATAACTCAACAACCTGATTTAAAAATGGATGGAGGAGTTGAACAGATATTTCTCCCAAGAGGGTATACAAATGGCCAGTAAGCATATGAGAAGATGCTCAACATCATAAATCATTAGGAAAATTCAAATCAGTTAAATTACAATGAGATACCACCTCACACACAATAGGATGGCCACTATCAAAAAACCAGAAGATGGTAAATGTTGGTGGGGATGTGGAGAAACTGGAAACCTTGTGCACTGCAAGTAGGAGGGTGAAATGGTACAGCTAATGTGGAAAACAGTATGGTAGTTTCTCAAAAAACTTAAAAACAGAATTATCAAATGATCCAGCAGTTCTACTCTGGAGTACATACCCAAAGAATTGAAAGCAGGATCTTGAAGTGATATATATAAGCCATGTTCACAGTAGCCACACAGATCACAGCTATTATTCACAAAAGCCAAAAGATGGAAGCAACCCAAAGGTCCATCAATAGTATACATAAAGTGTAATATTAAAAAGGAAGGAAATTCTGTTATACATTATAGCCTGGAACAACTTTGAAGACACTATGCCAAATGAATAAGCCAGTCACAAAAGACCAGTATTATATGATTGTACTTATATGAGATGTCTAGAATAGTCAACGTTACAGAAACAGAATGATGACTGCCAGGGGCTAGGGGAAGAGGGGGATGGAGAGTTTTTGGGTAAGTTTATTTTTAACTGTTTAAGAAACTGCCAAATGGTTTGCCAAAGTGCCTACACCATTTTAAATTCACACAAAGAATGTTCATTGGGACTTTTATCAAAAGTTAAAACTTGTATTTTTTTTTTTAATTTAAAAGTAAAAAGCAAGTCACAGAGAAGAGAAAATGTTTGCAAATCATGTATTTGAGGAGGAGCTTATATCCAGGTTATATTGCTCGTTTCACTACTAAATCCTGGTATTTGGTACTGGCTTTATTTTTTCAAGATAGGTTACAACGTACCAAGTTACAAAAAATTCACTGATATGGTGGGGCATCTGGGTGGCTTAGTTGGGTAAGTGTCCAACCCTTGGTTTCGGCTCTAGTCATGATAGTGTCATGAGATTTAGCCCTCAGTGCAGAGTCTGTTTGGGATTCTTTCCCTGTCCCCTTCTCTCCCCCTCTGCTCCTCCTGCTTGTGAGCTCTCTCTCTTTCTTTAAAATGAAATAAATAAAATCTTTTTTAAAATTCACCAAAGTAGTTTCAGGTTCCACATTTAACCTTTAAGAAACAACCAGTTGTCTAGTTTTGGTATGGTTATCAAAGGATATTATCCATAATTATCTGAAGAGGTGATTAAATATCCCACCCCTTTCCAATTATATCTGGTGAGGCCAGGTTTTTTTAAACGTACTTTAACCAAAGAGATGTATTCAATAGACTGAATGTAGAGCAAATGTGAAAACCTGTTACCTTCTATTAAGGTAATTAGCCAGTGTTGGCTATTGACTCTAGTTATTCTAGGGGCGTATCTCAATGTGGTTTTAAAACACATACCCCAAATGCATAACGATGTTACACATTTTGTTCCTGTTGGCCAATCATCTATCTTCTTTGGTGAAATGTCTATTCAAATCATTGTCTGTTTTCAATTAGAATTGTCTCCTCATTCAGTTGTAAGAGTTTTTAAAAATACATCCTGGATACAAGCTCCTCAAATACATAATTTGCAAACATTTTCTCTTCTCCATGGCTTGCATTTTACTTTTTAAATGGTGTTTTTTTTAAAAAAACACAAGTTTTAACTTTTTTTTAAAGATTTTATTTATTTATTCATGAGAGACAGAGAGAGAGGCACACAGGCAGAGGGAGAAGCAGGCTCCATGCAGGGAGCCCGATGCAGGACTCAATCCTGGGACTCCAGGATCACACTCCGGGCCAAAGGCAGGCGCCAAACTGCCGAGCCACCCAGGTGTCCCACAAGTGTTAACTTTTGATAAAGTCCTAATAATTTTTTCTTACGAGTCGTGCTTTTGGAATCACATCTAAGAACTCTTTCTACTACACAGTAATGAAGTTTTTCTCTTCTTTTCTTCTAGAAGAAATATATGTTTATGCGGTCTGTATACAGACACACACACACACATAAGATATATATCATGTTTATAGTTTCCAGGTGGACATGAATTGTGAGTGGATGCTGTTCAACCCAGGAAAGGAGGTACATAATTATAGTGGATATGCCAAAATATTAACTCCTTTTCTCTGGTTTCATAATTTTGCCTACTATGTGGATGGATTCTCTTATAGGAAGAAAACCACATTTACCCAGAAGGACCTGGTTCCTGTGCCAGATTTACCTTTCACTGAATGTCAGTCATTAGATATTTTATTAATTCCTTTTTTTTAAATTTTTATTTATTTATGATAGTCACAGAGAGAGAAAGAGAGAGAGGCAGAGACATAGGCAGAGAGAGAAGCAGGCTCCATGCACCGGGAGCCCAATGTGGGATTTGATCCCGGGTCTCCAGGATCGCGCCCTGGGCCAAAGGCAGGCGCCAAACCTCTGCGCCACCCAGGGATCCCTATTTATTAATTCCTAAAGAGGTGATTAACACAAATAAGTTTCAGAGGGAATCATTACTTCAACTATATTTAAAAAATTATTTCTGAGGGAGCACCTGGGTGGCTCAGTTGGTTAAGCCTCTGACTCTTGATTTCAGGGTCATGAGACTGAGCCTTCCCTCAAGCTCAGCAGTCAGTGTGGAATCTGCTTGTGATTCTCTCCCTCTCTCTGCTCCCATGCCCTCTTCTTCCCCTCCCCCCAGCTATTTCTCTGTCTCTCTAAAATAAATAAATAAATCTTTTAAAAAATTTTGTTTCTGGAGACATCTGGTGACTCAGTCAGTTGAGCAACCAACTCTTGAGTTCATCTCAGGGTGCTGGGATTGAGCCCCACGTTCAGTTCCACATTCAGTGTGGAGTCAACCAGAGATTCCTTCTCTCCCTCTTCTTCTGCCCCGCCCGTGGACTGTGCTCTCTAAATAAATAAAACCTTAAAAATAAAATGTGTTTCTGATCTATACATCCTAAAATGTGAAATATGTTAATGCCAAAAAGGTAATGGCAAATGAAATAAGGTTTCAAGAGAACATAAACAGAGGAAAGCCAGAGATGCCTATCTCTGTATTCTCCCCTGATATCTTCCATGGACATATTAACATAAACCACAATCATAATTAACACAATTTAAAATGGCATTGCTATATGTCATAAGTGTAATAGAATGCAAATACATCAAATTAGGACACACTTGGGACACCTGGGTGGCTCAGTGTTTGGGTGCCTGCCTTGGGCTCAGGTCGTGATCCCGGGATCCGGGATCGGGTCCCGCATCAGGCTTCCTGTGGGGAGCCTGCTTCTCCCTCTGCCTACGTCTCTGCCTCTCTCTCTCAGTCTGTGTCTCTCATGAATAAATAAATAAATCTTAAAAAAAAAAATTAGGACACACTTCCACTAATGGCTTCTATATTCTTCTAGACAAATATGTATTGTGAAAACACTTACAGTAACATGTTCCTTTGAGAGGATTTCCCTGGTATCGATTTTCCACCTCACACCTAGAAGGATAAAAATAAAGATTATTTTCTATTGCTAGTTAAAACAAAATCAACATTCATTTTATTTTATTTTTTTTAAAGATTTTATTTATTTATTCATGAGAGACAGAGAGAGAGAGAGGCAGAGACATAGGCAGAGGGAGAAGCAGGCTCCACGCAGGGAGCCTGATGTGGGACTCAACCCCAGGACTCCAGGATCACGCCCTGGGCGGAAGGCAGGCGCTTAAACCACTGAGCCACCCAGGGATCCCCTCAACATTCATTTTAAAACCAAGCAGATCCTTTTATATAAAACTAAACTACAAACAAGTATGAATCAGTATAATCACATTTTTCACTGTCACTTAGATCAGGTAAGCTGATGAGGGTGTGTATTCATGTTGAGTACAGACCGCCCAGCAGTTTCACACCACCTGCCAACTGATAAACATTTGCCAAAGTGCAGGAGACAAGTCCAAACTAAGAGCTACTAAGAAAGGGGGGAAAGCTTGGGTCAAGCACTTTTCTCAGATAAATAATACATGATATTGTGTCCTTTAATCCAGGGTGATTCTCAGCACTTGCTTCTATCTAAAATCTCTTGAAGAGAAAGTCTTCCACTGGACCTAGGCCTCATTTTGTTACTGCATGCCTAACTAAGGGCAGGAGTGATTAATTTTGCCCTTTTGTTCTGTTTGAACCTAGGTCCAAAAGCTAAGCTTAATCTTTGATTAGACATTTTTTCATGTATTGGGTTTAAGGCATCATGAAATCAGTAAATATGACTAATGGTATAAACTATAAAATGCAGACAGAGCAATTCCTTCCTTGAACATCATGATCAACATCTCAACCACTGATGACCTCATTATTAGTGTTTTTTGAAAAAAAACAAAACAAAAACAAAAACAAAGTTTACTAATGAGGTACCTGTTTGTATCAGCCCAATGTTGTGATACTACTAAACATCTCTCTCTCTTAAGTCTCTTCTTGAGAGAATGAGTAAACCTGGAGCATGTGTTTTATGAGGTTTTCTGGTGAGGCAGATAGATATATATTTGTCAGGGAACAATCTCTTGTTTCAACTCACCAAGGCACTAAAAACAATTATTGCTAGTCCTGCTATTGATAGGGAAACTGAGGCTCAGCTAAGTGATATGTCTCAAGAGTGCTCTGCTTCATGGCAGCAGAGCCGGGACTAAAACTCTGTGTCTATCTGACGCTATCTGCATCTTCATGTATGGGAACTCCAGACTCTTCCCTGGAAGATGTCTAACATACTTCACCACGTAAAATGCTAGAACAGGGAGTGTTGATGATCCTCTCCAAGCCAGAGGATCATCTCCACTATTAGACAACCAAAATGCTAAATAAAAGATTGTCCTGGAATACCAACTCTTCCAGCTCTTTCTCAGGAAAGGGTGCAATCTCCTGATATGACAAAAACTGAACAATGGTTGAAGTTAAAAGACTCATCCAAGTCAGCAACACAGGAAATGTCAGTGTCACTCAAACATAAAAATGTGAACTGAAGAGCCATCAAGGAATTGCTGCTGAACTTGTGACCTCCTCAGTATGGAGGCTAACTGAATGAGACCTGTTGAAATAGAAAAGGCAGAATTCCGAATTCATCAACCTGGGGATCCCCCAGAGCCCATGACAAAAGGGCACAGGGAAGGGGTGGCTCTTGTGGTCCAGCAGCTTCATAGCCCCTTGACCTCCCTGGCTGTACAGACCTAGCTGGCCTGGCTGTCAGTCACTAAATCCAGGTGTGGCCTGTGGCAGAGGTCCCAGGAGTGTGGTACTCACAGCTGGCACTCGTCCCCCTTGACGCCCTTGGTGGTGCAAAAGCACTTGCCCGTGTTGGTGTTACAGAGAGAGGCATGCCCATTGCACTTGCATGCTGGAGAGAAGGAAAAGGAATGGAGGTCACAATTGGCTTAAAAGATTACCACTATCACAGAAAACACATAATTTTATCTGAATTGGATTTGATAGGAAAGGTAGATTAAAATGAAAGCATTTAATGGATAAGATTCAAGTTTTCCAGCTAATGATTTATCTCAAATAATGTTAAGGTAACATTAAAAGAAGCAAAGTCCAAGGACAGGAGGAAAGTAGAGTGCTGGCTTCCACTGCCATCTGAAGCAACCATTTTGATCTAATTTTATCTTTACAATAGGCTGTTTTGCACTATGATGACTCTTTCATTCAACCAGTAAACATTTATTTTATTTTTTAAAAAAGATTTTATTTATTTATTCATGAGAGACGGGGGGGGGGGGGGCAAAGACACAGGCAGAGGGAGAAGCAGGCTCCATACAGGAAGCCTTATGTGGGACTCGATCCCAGGTCTCCAGGATCAGGCCCTGGGCAGAAGGCGGCACTAAACCACTGAGCCACCCAGGGTGCCCCGAGTAAACATTTATGAAACATCTCTAGTGTACCAGCTGCTGGGTATGGGGACACAGACACAGGCCCTGCTCCCACAGAGATGCTCTGAGCAATAACTGCCCCCGAGGGGGAGGCTTAATTTGGCTGCACTCAGCCTCAGATGAGGTGCCTCCTCCACAAAGGCCATGTTTCAAATCCTAGCAGGGCTCAGAAGTGGGGTGAAACTGCAATGGTAGGTCAGTGTTTCAGAGGCCTTACAGGATACACCACCCTGGCTTTCTCTTTAGCTTCTGCAGAAAACTCCTGTCACCTCCTCCTCTAGCCATCAACACATCACCTTCTTTATCCAACACATAAGTGTGAACCAGGACACATTTTATTTGCCAGGTAAAACGTGTCTTTTGCTCAATACCTTTTGACCTTACACTTTATTTTTCTGTAAATAAATTAACGGCATTGTACTTTAAAAATAAATCCTGTGGAAAAAATAAACCACATCCAGGTTCCCTGTGTGGCCACATGTTGCAGTAAGTCTTTGGGCAGGGGGTCTTATGCACAGTCCCCACCCAGTAATGTCAAGTACTGTAACTACTGTCAAACTCATGAATTCCAGTCACAAGGACTAGGAAAATGTTTTTATTAAAAACCTTTTAATTGGAGCAGGAAATGTTCTTTAAGAGTGGTGGGAAATAGGAGTAAAAGAGTACTTACGACTGCCTACATTTCCTGAGGGCTTACTATGTGTCATGCACTGCTCTGACCACTTCCATCTCAACCACCAACCTTTTATCCCCATTTTACGGATGAGGAAACTGAATCCCAGAGAGGTTAAGGGATATACTGCTAAAATGCCAGCTCTCTCTTGACTTCTCTGGGATCAGATTCTCAAGGGCCATGCTAAGGAGTTTGGAGGTGGGATTTGGGGAGGAGGTAGAGATTTTCCTTTCTTATTTTCCTGCTCAGAACCCGAAGGGTCTTCCCACTGGAAATAAGAACAAGCCAAAAGGCAGTTTGTCAGTCTCACTGGTCATTTAATAAAAAATGTATTAATTTACATTCTAACACTAAAAAGTCCTTACTTGCAGGAATCCATTCGATGTGTATGGGGAAATAGGGGATGATTTAAATCTTTAAATATCCTAGAAGTACTGAGGAGTCCAGCTCCTGGTTAAAACCCTATGTGTGATTTTTCAGACCTGACCACAGGCCATTACCCAGGCTTAGCCGGCTGGCCTCCCACACCTGCCTGGGGGCAGTCTTTGAGAGGAGCTGCAATCAGGGTCTCAGGCACCCCACCACCCAGCAGAGTTCTCTCTCAGGCTTGCATTCCTAGCAGGAGTCTTCATTCCTGAGTCTCTTTATCTGAGGCCTTGGGCAGACCTTTGGGAGCCTCTGCCAAGCCTCCTGGGGAAGGAGGGGGGAACCCTGAAGATACTGTCCCCACTCTCTGTCCCCAATACATTTCCCCTCATTCTCGCCTCCCCTCTCCTCTCCAGGGTCCATGACAGGCTTTTGCTAGAGCCTTTTGTTCAGGGCTCTTCCCACCTCTGTGCGGATCCACGTGGTGCTCAGCCAGCACCCTGTCCAGGAGGGAAAGGAACGAGGGGACTCGGAGCTTTCTAGAGTTTAGGTTAAGCCTCTTGCTTTACTACCACAGTAAGTGATTAAAGGCTTAACTCTTCCATTTTTGGTTTGTTGCTTTAACTGGCTACTCTGCTACTTGGCAGCTCTGCTCACTCTCTCCCAGGCTCAACTGAGCTCATAACAAGTATGATAAGAAATGCAGTATCCAAAACCAAGTGCCTTTTTTCCTCCCACATACTCAAGTCAAACTGAGGACTGTGTTCCACCTGGTTTGCAATCAGTAGCCCTGAGGGATCTGACTTACGCTGACATCTTCCCCATTGGTGGGATCACCATAGAAGCCAGATATGCAGGTCTCGCAGTGCTTGCCTGTGGTCAGGTTCTCACACTTCTCACAGATACTCTGATTAATGCATTTGCTGTGGCCATTGCACTGGCAAGCTGAAAGAAAAAGAATTTTAAGAGGCCTTTCCCGTGGTAGAACAGGGTGGAGTATGTTCCACAAGATTTACTTGCAACTATCTAAGTTCCTTATGACCTCTAAATACCTCAAAATCATTAAAAGTGGCCCACTAAAGAGTAATTTGAGAAAAAAGATCAAAACATTCATACAGGGCTAGTCCAGGAAAATCAGAAATATACCACAGCAAGGTAAAAGTCTACAGCCATTAAAAAAATAATTTGTTGTTGTTCATAAAAATAATGCATGTTCATGATAGTAAATTTGGAAAACATAAGAGGGGAAAATCATATTCAACTGCATCATGCAGAGAACACTGTGCACATCTGGAATTTTCCGTTCCAGGGATTTATTTTTTCTATATAGTTTTACACAGTAGTGCTCATATTAATACTCAACATTGATTTTTTTTTTACTTACAGCACAATGACTTTACCACATTATTTCATCTATCATAAAACCTTAAAAGACAGAATGAGTTCTATGAATCATAACAGCTTTTTAACCATTCCCATATATTCTGATATTTAGTTTGCTTTCAATTTTTTTTAGAAAAATAACCATTTTTATATATAAAAACATTTCCACAAGCGGAATTAGTAAGATTCTTGATGCACACAGGATTTTACACCTAGAAAGGCATATGAAACTTGAACCTCTCAGGACTGCTTAGGACAGCTGTTCAGGCTGTGCACTGCAGACTCAAGTGGGGCCACTCACAGAATACACAATCTACACCACTGCAGGCAGAAGACTGGAATTTGCAAATCTGTCTTTCTCCCCCTGCTTTACTGAGATACTACTGACACATAATATTGCATAAAGAATGTAATGCATTGATTTGATACACTTAAATATTGCAAAACGATTACTACCCACAGTGTTAGCAAACGCTTGCATCATGTCACATAACTATTTCTTTTTTGTGATGTGAACATATAAGGTTTACTTTTTTTTTTTAGCAACTTTTGCAGATCTCTGTTGGTTGATAAATGTGATACAGCCTTCTGCCATCGTGGCAACTTTCCAATAGCCTCGAACCTATTGTTCACCCACCTGTTTTCTACCCCGTTCCTGCAGGTATTTGAGTTGTTCTATATAGACTGCAAGTGAGAGACTTCAAAATGACTATAGCAGTTATTATTGCACCAAAAATACTTAAGAGGTGTGGGAAATGCACGTTGTTCCTGTGAAGATGAACAACTGTATATGTATCAAAAGGCACAACACACACACAAAAAGCATACCTAAAACCATTTACCAATAAAATTTGTATTCTGGTTCAAGATAAAAAGACTAGAAAAATCCTTCTCTTTTTCTCTTCCTCTTCAAAATCCCACTGAAATTAACCAGAAAAATGTAAAAACAAGGATAAATCAACTGGAATATGGGGTAAGAGGAAACGGTCCTATCAGATGCACTGAGACATACTTCTGAATTACTGAGCAATTCCTAGAAATTGTAAAACAGTGTCAATCTGACAGAGAAAGAGGAGTTGAGACACCTGTCTCCTAATGTAGAAGGAGGGAACAGTCAAAGCAATGAGATGGACTTTACCAACTGACACCTGAGCAATCCAGCTGAGGCTGGAAGACAGAGCAGGCCTCCAGAAAGGGGCAGACAGCAAGAAGTGCCTCCTGACCAGCTCTGCATCTGTTCAGTCTCACACTGTATACAAAAATAAACCCAAAATGGGATTATGGATGACCTAAATATAAGAGAAAAATCTATGAAACTTTAAAAAGAAAACATAGGAGTAAATCTTTGTGATCCTTGGTATCCCTAGGCACAGATTTCTTAGCTACCATACCAAAAGCCCATGGTATAAAAAAACACTGATATCTTGGACTTCACAAATTTAGAACTTTTATATTTCAAAAAATATCACCAAAAAAATAAAAAGAAACCCACAGAATGGGAGAAAGTATTTGCAAATCACATGATGAATAAGGAACGTGTACCTAGACTTCATAAAGAATTCTATAGGTCAATAATAAACAAAAAAATTAAAATGGGCAAAGAATTCGAATAGACATTTCTCCAAAGAAGACACAGATGGCCTGTAAGATGCTCGACTTCATCAGTCTAGAGAAATGCAAATCAAAACCAGAGATACAATTTCTCACACACTGTATCTGATATAAAAAAAAAACGACACAAGTATTAATGTGTGGAGAAGTTGCAACCTTTTCAGACTGGCCAGTGATGTTGAAAAATGGTACTGTTATTTTGGAAAACCTCATGCCTTATTCCTCATTCCCACCCCCAACCCTAGGTGATCCCTAAGCTATTTTTTTTGTCTTCATATATTTGCTCTTTTTTGGACATCTCATATAAATGACATCATATAATATGCAGTCTGCATCTGACTGCTTCTGAGGCTCATCTGTGTCAGAGACTACAGTACTCCCCCCCCCCCCGCCGCCATTATCATCTAGCAGTATTCCATCATATGAAGATAATCACATTTTGTTTATCCATTCACCAGGTGACAGACACTGGGTTATTTCCACTTGTATTATGAATAATGTTGCTATGAGCATTCACTGCAAGTTTTGTGTGGACGTGTGTTTTCAATTCTCTTGGATATATACTGGGCCATATGATAACTCTATGTTTAACTTTCTGAGAAACTGCCAAACTGTTTTTCAGAGTGGCCGCACCATTTTACATTCCTTCCAGCAATATGTGAGGGTTCCAATTTCTCCAATGTTGTTGAACATCTTTTCCTGTGCTTTTGGCCATTTGTGTATCTTCTCTGGAGAAATGTCTCTTTCAATCCTTTACCCATTTCTTAATTGGGTTGTCTTTTTGCTGCTGAGTTTTAAGAGTTCTTTGTAAGTATTCTGGACATTAGACTCTTCCAAATTTGCAAGTATTTTCTCCCATTCTGTGGGCTGCCTTTTTTTTTTTTTATATATATATAGTCACACAGATTGAGAGAGAGAGAGGCAGAGACATAGGCAGAGGGAGAAGCAGGCTCCATGCACCGGGAGCCCGATGTGGGATTCGATCCCGGGTCTCCAGGATCGCGCCCCGGGCCAAAGGCAGGTGCCAAACCGCTGCGCCACCCAGGGATCCCTGGGCTGCCATTTCACCTCCTATATTCTCAATATTAATAAAAATGCAACTACTTAAATATTTCATGAATCAAACTAGTATATAAGAAACAGAATTACAGATCCTTTGACATCTTAGAAAATAAAGGGAACACAGAAAATTTGTTTGGTAGACAAAAGACTGGTTTCTTATCTTATTTTACATTTCCCTGCTTTGTTTCCTTTTCTGAGAAAGACTTCTTAACATCCTTTGCCCACTTCTTTTTTTTTTTTTTAAAGACTTTATTTATTCATGAGAGACACAGAGAAAGAGAGGCAGAGACAAAGGCAGAGGGAGAAGCAGGCTCCCTATGGGGAGCCTGATGTGGGACTCAATCCCAGGACCTGGGATCACCACCTGAGCCAAAGCTCAATCACTGAACCACCAGGTGCCCCTGCCCACTTCTTCTGTTGAGCTGACAGGGCTTTTTTTTCTGGAGGGCAGAGGTTTACATACTCTGAATGATAATCACTTATTACACACACTGCAGAAATGTTCCTCCAGCCTGTCTCTTGCCTTTTACCATTGCTCACAGTGGTCTTTCCTTTTTTTTTTTTTTAATTTTTATTTATTTATGATAGTCACACACACACACAGAGAGAGAGAGAGGCAGAGACAAGGCAGAGACATAGGCAGAGGGAGAAGCAGGCTCCATGCACCGGGAGCCCGACGTGGGATTCAATCCCGGGTCTCCAGGATCGCGCCCTGGGCCAAAGGCAGGCGCCAAACCCCTGCGCCACCCAGGGATCCCTCACAGTGGTCTTTCCCTTACAGAAGTCCTCACAAAGAGCCCTGTTGCCAGTGGCACCTCAGACAGACTCCTGGAGAAGTTCCTACTCACTAACCTCCTGGGGGTCTTAGCACCTGCCTAACCTCCCCCAACTGTTCTGGAGGCCCATCAGCACAAGACCAATTTCTCAGGGCAGCCTCCCTAGCAGGTGTAGACTCAGGCTGTAGGCCAACTCATGGTCTATTCCTTCTGGTACCAACTACTGGAAGGAAGAGGGGGGAAGAGAACAGAGTGAGAGTGGGAGGGAAGAAAGGACACAGAGGAGGCAGATAGGCTTAATTTTTCCTCTTGCCAAAAGGGATAGGGACCTTCTTCCCTCTCCTTTTTCTTACAATTTTTCAAGAACCTGTATCTACAAATCCTTTCTCTGGGGGAAAAAATCCTTTCTCTATTCCTTTGACATGTATATGTACATAAATCTTTTTTAAAAAACTAAATAAGCCTCTAGTCAGCACAACAATCCAGGAATGTTTTTCTTAAGGGTTTGGTAAATATGATTCATCATATGATAAATATGATTCATCACTTTGAAATGTAAACACCAATGAAGACAGAACCCTATATCCCTGTCACTTTGGGAATTCAGTCTTAGGTGCATTTGTGCCAAACTAACAATCATCTGCTTGCCATAAAGATACAAGAAATTTTATTGTTTTGGATAAAGGCAATTAACTAACACAGGTGGCCATCCCAAATACCAGGTAAATTCATAATGAACTATGAAAGAAGGTACAGCAAATGGTGCTGTCAAATCCTCTCATATGAGGACAAGTTATTCATCTTAAGAACATTTATATATGTTCATTTATATATGTATGTGCCTGGATATTTAAAAGGGTGATATTTCTCTCTGTTTCTGCAATCTTACCAGTGGACTGCCTGTAGGGTGCACTACAGTCTGGTTTGATTTTTGGATACACAAGACATCTTACCTGGACAATGAATGAAAGACCAGTTGTATCTGCTGTCCTCCAGACACATGCTGGAATTGAGAAGGGGCTGTGGGTAGGAATTTCCTGCAGAGGCCTGAGAAGGCATCTTCACTGGTCCTTTATAAGAGCCCTCTATGCATTTCCCTTTGCCAGTATTGCTGGGATCGGTGCACCAGCCGCAGCCTGGCTGCTCCAAGCAATGGCTGCAGGTACAGTAGCCCGAACAATTTTCAGCTGTAAAAGAATACAAGTTACCATTCACTACCACAGGTAGCTCTGAATTCATTGTATTAAATTACCTTTTTAAAAAAGTTTTTAAAAAATGTATTCATTTAACTAATCTCTATACCCAACATGGGGCTTGAACTTACCACCTCAAGATCAAGAGATGTATGCTCTTCTGACTGAACCAGGCAGGCACTCCTAAATTACCTTCTATTTAAACAGACTATTCTGTCAGTCAAAATTCCTATTCTGAGGTGACTGCCTAAATGACACAATAAATTTAAAGAGCCCCCCCCAAAAAAAATTTAAAGAGCCCCAAATCTTGCCCAACATAGAAAAGCGGTTTCTCCCTTCCTCTATTAATCCCAGGATGTGGACACTGAAGGGGGCTTAGCAGAAAGCACTTATTTCATGAATCAGGAAAGGAAGATGTGTAGACATTACATGGGTTGAGCAATATGATCCTAAAGCTGGGCAAGCTATTTCTGTACTCTGTCCTACAGTGCTTGCTTTTTAAAAAAGTTTTTACTTATTTGAGAGGGGAGGTGAGGAGGGGCAAAGGGAAAGAATTTCCAGCAGATGCCCCCTGAACACAGAGCCCAAGGCAGGGCTCAATCTCCTGACCCTGAGTTCACAAAATGAGTCAGAATCAAGAGTCAGATGCTTAACTGACTGAGCCACCCAGTGCCCCTACAGGGCTTGATCTTGCATGAAGGTTCTCCTCGGGCAGTCTCTGATCTTGTCCTTAGAATGTTCAGAGGCTGACAGCACTGCCCCACAGCGGGAGCTGCACCCTCTTCACTTACGGGGGCAGCTGCTCATGGTGTACCACTCCATACACTGGCCAAAAGGGAAGGAGGCCACATAGGCATTGGAGTCCACACACTGCTTCATGTTGCTGCACCACATGCACTCAGAGCTGCCACTGGTGCACTCGCCACACGCCGTCCGCAGGGCACACGGCGTCCGGCACTGCTTGGCGCTGTGGTTCGCTGAAAAGAAACCCAAAAGAGACAGACACTTAGAGCTCTCACCATGTTGGCTAAGATCAAGGGCTTTCAGGATAGGTTATGATCCCCTAGTGTGTCATGAAATCAAACCAGTGGGCTACATTAAATGTAGGAAAAAACAGAAAACACAGAGTCACCATGTACTGGTTAGTCAAGTATATTCAGATGCTTAGGGGGGAAAAACTCTTTTCAAAGAGCATTAAGGACAGATATGAGGAAATAAGCTAATCTTTCCATAAGAGTAGTTTTTTTTAAAAAAGATTTTATGTATTTATTCATGAGACAGAGAGAGAGAGAGAGACAGAGACAGAGACATAGGCAGAGGGAGGAGCAGGTTCCCTGCTGGGACCCCAATGCGGGACTCGATCCCCAGACCCAGGATCATGCCCTGAGCCGAAGGCAGATGCTCAACCGCTGAGCCACCCAGGCCTCCCAAGAGTAGCAGTTCTAAAACTCATTACAATATGAGTTTTAGATTACAATATGGGACTCAAGATGAACTTCAGGGGTTTTAAAATCCACCTGAACATGAAACTTGTATCTTTTCTGGGAAGGGGGTGGGGGGGAGACGGACCACCACATTCACAAAATCCAGCACCAAAGCATTTAGGACTCCAAATGGCTGAAAAGCTTCCCTACAGGAAGTTTAGAAACTATATTTTAGTAGGACGCTTACAGGGCTATGGATTTTTTCTACACCTCTGTACTCTTCAGACAACTTACAATATCTTCCTACAATGAGACACGGTGTCATTGGAGTGCAGCATCCCAAAAAGCACCCACAGAACTCCACCTACTGTGTGTGAGTCCCTCTGCAGGAGTAAGATGCTTGTCTCTGTGCTGCAGGTGCTGCCCCCGTGTTGCCCATGGCAAGCCTGAATGTAGCCCAGTGGAAAGACATGAACCTGAGGAGCTATTTGTTGTGTAGTCCTCAGCACTGTCCTATAGCTCTAGCGTGGGTCAGGTTAGCTTCTGCTATCATGTAACCACTCTCACTTTTCTCCCCACTGACACTTTTCCTTGTACTGTCCCTGCAGTGACCTGCATGCGTTTTTATCTTTTCTCTGCATTTTCTGTTCTTTCTTCCAGTGTTTCTCTGCCAACCTCAGGACATTGGCCTTTCAGAGTAATTTTCAGTATGTTTTATGGTCAACATACCAACCAATCTCACTGTTAATTAGAATGTTAGGTTCTCTGAGTGGTGTTATGCTTATGGCTCATACTATTCAGGGCAGTATAGTATGGCTCATACTATACTCTGCTTCATATGTTTGAAATCAATACCTCATCTGTTATCTCACACCTTTCAACATTTCACTACGCCTCTGACAGTTTCTCCTTCAGTGAACCTCCAATGACACACTATTCACCCATATACTTACCAGGCCTTTCACAGACACTACCATTGAGTGGGTTGATGCAGGTTGCAGCCTTCAAGCCCCGAGTACTGGGTTCTGACAAGATTCCACAGAATCCAGCATCACTGGGCTCAGATGGCATCCACTGTAGCAAACTATTTGTGAATGGGGACATATCTTCCCAGCACCAGTATGACACATTGATCTTCCGAAGGCCAACCCATGGGGTTAAGGTGAGCTTGGACTATAGGCAAAAGAGACACAGCTTTGAATACAAGCAACATCTTGAGCAAAAGTGCCTTACAGATAAAAACCACTAAGTTACAGATAAAGGAAAGTCTCCTCATCCCAATTCAGCCATGGCAGATTAGGACAGACTATCATTTCTAATGTTACATATCATGCCTTGCATTTCAATATGGCCATTTTACAAAGGACAGAAATATAACTCAGAGAAGATAAAATCTTCAGAGATTAGTGGCAAAGCAGTAATTAAGTCCCTAAAGTACTATACTGTAATGACAGATGTTATAAAGAGATGGCCATCCCCTAACATTGGTTTAAATAATTACTCATACACGAAGTCATCTTACCAATATTTATGAAATACTGGTTATATGCCTATCCTAGGATCATTATTTAAGCCTATGTTGGGGCTTTGGCCAGTTCAGATGATTGAAGATTCCCGCTTTCAGCTGGGGTATGCTGGCTGGCATTGAATTTTCTAGGGAATAATAGGGCAGCAAACCTTTGGGGAGTCTGTGTTTTCTGTTCTACTAAAATTTCCTTCTCATTACAATTTTAAAAATTTATAAATCAAAGTACAGAGTTTAGTCCAGAAATGGAAGATATTCCTAGTATTGACAGTTATAAAACAAAATGTAAAATGTATTTCTATTTTTGAGAGGAAAAAATACATATGCCAATTAAAGACCTAAAAGGGATAAACACACCCAGAAGTTATATTTAGTTGAAATAAGTAGGCTCCATGCTCAACATGGGGCTTGAACTCACAACCCTAAGAACAACACTTGAGCTGAGATCAAGAGTCAGTCAGATGCTTAACCGACTGAGCCACCCAGGTGCCTCAAGTGATATTTATTTTCTGATTTTAATGCTAGTAACTTCTAAATTTCCTTTGAAATATGTATTCTTTAAGGAAAGAAAGATAATCAAAACTAGTATCTCTTAAATTAAAAAAAAAATTTTTAAGTAGGCTCAATGCCCAATGTGGGGCTTACACTCACAACCATGAAATTAAGAGTCGCATGCTCTACTGATTGAGCCAGCCAGGTATCCCAAACTTAATACCTTTTAAAGTCCTTCAATATCTTCCACTGGCTTTCATGACAAAATTCATAGCAATTAGCATTACACACAAGGCCTCTCAGGATCTGGCCTTGATCTCTTGTGAGGCTCGACCACAAGAACCCCCTTCCCCCAGCCTACAGCCAGCCATGCAAACATACCAGCAGCTAGTCCCTCAATCTCTGCATCTTGCATGTGGGGGTAACAAGGCAGACAGTGCTTCCCTCTCCACCTTCCCACTCCCTCTCTCATCTTCAGGGGTTACCTCTCTGGCTGTCTACCAGCTAGCCTTTACCCTACAGGCCGGGCCAGTGCTCATGCTTGTTCTTCCGTGCAAGCCTGGGCTCTAGGTCTAGACTTGCAGCTATGGAAGCACATATGCTATAGTTGTCTTTCATCTGTAAGTCTTATTTATTTATTTATTTATGTTTGTTTGTTTGTTTATTTATTTATTTATTTATTTATGATAGTCACAGAGAGAGAGAGAGAGAGAGAGAGAGAGAGAGAGGCGCAGAGACATAGGCAGAGGGAGAAGCAGGCTCCATGCACCGGGAGCCCGACGTGGGATTCAATCCAGGGTCTCCAGGATCGCGCCCTGGGCCAAAGGCAGGCGCCAAACCCCTGCGCCACCCAGGGATCCCTCTTTCATCTGTAAGTCTTACAAGACTGTGAATTCCTGTTGTTCAAATGTGCTCCCAACAGACCTGACTAGGCAGAACCTTCTGGAGCTAGAAAACTAAAGGAAGAGGGAAGAGGGACCAGGAGATATATCTGTGGCTAGCTGGGAGAGCAGGACCCTTCTAATCAGGTGTTCTTTCAGAAACATTGAATTGGGGGTCACTGGTAATGTGAAAGGTCGTAAGTCCTCAATTTTCTGAGGGAGTGACTATAGGTAAGACCAATCAACGGCCAAGGACAAAACATTAGAAGAGGCCCATATTTGGGGGTGAGAAAAGAGAAACAACAAACCTCTAACAGAAATTATAAAATGTGAAAAAGCTTTCAAAATATCATAAAACATCAAATGGGGGCCATAATGTCCCGAGGTTACCACATTTATAGCATATTACCAATGTGTAGCTGTCTATACCATACCAAAGTTACACTGGAGAAAAGACCAATTGGAGAAAAATAAAATACTATAGGGCTCTTGCCACTGGTATCACAACAGGTGGTATACCGAGGCCAATACAGCCAGGACTCAGACCACATTTTCTGTGTCCTTCCCTGAAGAAGGCTGCACCCAATGAAATGCTGCTCATTCCTCCTCCCTGCCTGATGAAAAACATTTCCCCCGAAGAGCTCTGTACCAAAGCCAATACTGTTGAAAAAGATTTGTCTTGTAAATACCTACTTAACGGAGGGTAGGACCACAGTTCTAGGGTTTTGGACCCAAAAAAGGGCAAAATGTGGTTGTGGAATATTAACAACAAGCCACTTGAAAGCACAGGGAAGACAGGAAGAGAATTTGGGGTCTTTCTGTGCTCAGAAACTCTTGATAAGAAGGTGACCTCTCCTCTGGGGCTGGCCAGACCTAAAAAAGACTCAATAAACATCTAGTTCTTATGGTGATCACTATTAATTATTACATACTGTAACAATATCTGAAATGTGACAGACTCAAGTGGCTTCATTCAACCTAGTTCATCAGTAGTGACATCCCTTTTCCTTCTCCCCAAGCAGAACCCAGGGAACAAACAGATACGAAAGCATCAACTGATGTCACAAGGATACGTGACACACATGTTACTATTTAATACACATGTAATTATTCATTTATATTCTAATCTAATAGATATGACCAATAAAGTGTTAACAATTTTAAGTAAGAAAGAAAGCATTAAAGGAAGAGATTCTGACGGTGCTGATCCCCGGTCTACTCTGCTCAGACTATGACTCTGCTTGCCAGGCATACCACAGGGAAGCTGCACTGGAGTTCTCAGTACAAGGGTGGGTACTAGAAGCTTAAGATCTAAGTTAACTCACCATGCTCTGTGATGACTGCATTATTCTCAGCTGCTTAAGGACAAATTCTACCTTCTTCTGGGTTGTAAGAGAAGCCAAAAAGGCATTGTGGTTCCTACAGGACAATTTAGCATTGTCATAATTCTCCTTGGCAGTAGTAATTTTCAAACACGAGTTTCCAACCAAATGCCAGCCAATGCCACAGATATTTTCTTTTGTAAAGGAGGGAGAAAAAAAAAGAGTTTTAGAAATCATACAAAACTACTACGTTACCAGTTCAAATCACCTGAAAGGTTTTTGCGATTTGAATTCCATAGTACTTCTCTAGGATGTGGTGAGGGTCTCCCACACATTACTGAAGACCAATGAAGAATATAAGAATGTTAGACTTCACCAGTCCTATTTCCTGGATCTCAAGAGGCATATTCTAAGGTCAACTCTTTATGTCTTGGAGGAAGAAATCTTAGGTGCCAATGCTAGATTTCTAAACCCCCCTTTGAAGGACAATTAGAAATAAGACTAAAATCCTAAGTAAAGAACAGAAAAATGAATATGCATATTGAAAGGGTGGGGAAGAAAACTAGACGGTGGAAATGAGTTGCTGAGTAAACACGACTACAGTCTTCCAAAGATGCATTGTTTTCACATCAAGTGGAAGGTAAAATCAAGGGTACAAAATATCCCAAAAGTGAGGTGGAAAGATACTTTTTAGGAAAAAAAAAACAAAACCCTAAAACAAAACAACCCCAAAGTGATTGATACAGGTGCTGCACACAAGGCAAGACTGTAACATGCTCCTGTGATTGCCCTGAATCCACCCAGTTCAGCTCTGTGCCCTGAAATGCACAGAAGCTATGTATGTTTCCTGGAAGACAGGGAATGAGCAGGACAACTCTGCCAGAACCAAGTACCCTGGAGACACCACCAACAATGCCCATTACCAGTCGATGAAGTAAGTGGAAAGTGCCATAGGAAAGGGATCATTTAAGAGCACATCAAGATCAGCTCTGCCAAGTGTGGCATCAGTATCACTATTCATTAAAAGGTAGATTCTAGGGCCCCACCCCCAATGAGTACCAGAATCTGACTTCTGATAAGACTCCCACGTACTCTGCAGTGCACTGAAGTTTGATGCAATGAGGTAAAGAATGAGAAGCTCACACTCATACAAGCTGAATCAAGTATTTTCAAAGGATATTCAAATGGAGACTAGCAGACCCTGCTACCCTGGGCATGCTTCATCCGCCATGCAGAACCAAAGATGTCCCCTTTCTTCAAAATCCTGGTTGGGCAAATATATTACAGAACTCTTGTTGTGGCTGTCTGGCCTGAGGCCTCAACTCTCTTTCATCTTGAACCTCAGATGGCATAAATTGAGGTATTCAGGACAGGAGATCACCTCAGGGAGTGCTACTGATAAAAGCATCTCTCCTCCTTCATGCCAGAAGGTGCCTGGTCCCAGTGGTCTGTAAGAAGTACTCTTCATAAAGTGTCCCGCAGACTGGCTGCCAGGGCTGTTGCATTCTACTGCCAGGTGACTATAGCAGAGGTGAATGAGGACAATGGAGCAGGCTCGATGATATGGAGCTAAGCTGTCATTCCATTCTCCAGAGCAGCAGATGATACTTCATTTTATTTCAAAGCACAGGAGGAGCAAATGCTTAAGAACTCTATTTTCACTTTTTTAAAATAACTATAGTGGTATGGGGAATGAATGGATAAAATGAATTTGTTCCTTCTGCTGGATTCAATCAAGGTTGCACAGTATTGTGTGTGTGTGTGTGTGTGTTTGTGTGTGTGTGTGTGTGTGTGTGTGTGTGTAGTCTCTAGACCCACACATATTAAGATGCCCCTACAAGGCCTACCAGGCAGGGCAATGCACTCCTGATTCCGGGGCTCCCACTGGCAGTTCTGGTCCAGGGCACAGCTCCTGCAGCTGGTCTTCTTGTTACAGTAGTACATGGGGTTATCCTTGGGACAATTCTCATATCTGGAAATGGAGATCTAGAACACAGTGGGCAAAAGCTTTTCTTTTAATACATGGACAGAACTCCAACTGAGGATAAACAGAATACTAAAATCAACAAAATCTAATTGAGGAAGCAAATTACAAATAAACTAATTAATTAGTTAATCAATCAAAGAAATAAGATGCAGATGAAGTGGCCCTGCAGTGGAAACAGTATGCTGAAATCTTCTGCACAGGGCATGCCTAACCCAGCAAAGAGGCAATATGCTCTTTTAAATACCATGCTTCATGCTTTAACCTACTCTACTGTGAAGTGGTGGTGTTCAACCTGCTGCTTTTCAAACGCCTCCCAAACAGACTGAAACTTTTATATTTTATGAACTGCTTTATAGAATAAACTGTCAAAAACTACAGACGCTGAATCACTGTATCTTTTTTTGCCCTATAACCTGAATTTAAAAAATCACAAATGGTGGGACACCTGGGTGGCTCAGCAGTTGAGTGTCTGCCTTTGGCACAGGGCGTGGTCCTGGAGTCCCAGGATTGAGTCCCGCACTGGGCTTCCTGCAGGGAGCCTGTTTCTCTCTCAGCCTGTGTCTCTGCCTCTCTCTGTGTGTCTCTCATGAATAAATAAATAAAATATTTAAAAAATAAAATTTAAATTTAAAAAATTACAAATGGTGAGCATAAATTATATTGAGCCAAGATATAAGACAAGGAGATTTTGTTAAGTCACTTCATTCACCTTCAGTCTCAAGTTCTAACTTGCTTCCAAAAGCTTGTACAGCTAGAGTGAGGTCACCATGACAAGCCTCACACCAAGCATCTAGGATCTAGCTATAGCCATGCCTACCTAGGGAGTAGGGAGTACACAGAATAACAGTCCTGCCTTCTTCTAAAATACTATATACCAATCCTTGTGGCTAGGAGGACCTTTGAAATTAGGATGTTTATAGCATCCCTTCCAATAATAAACTCCAAACCTACACCAGAGGTCTTAAAAATACCTCTGAGATAGTATTTATATCATACACACTACAATCTTACACCGAACCGCCGCCCCCCCTGGAGTGTTTTCATCCTCTGCAACCCTTGAACAGTGACCCCTGACCTGGCCTTCTGTGCAGCTGTGGTTCACAGGGACACAATGGTCACTGCACCAGTGGCAGTCATTGGTGTTGGCTGTGCAGCTGTAACAATCCGTGTGCTGGTCACATCTGTCATGGTCAAAGGCTATGAAAAGAAGAAAAACTTATCAACTATGACTGCTTCTCCTTAGAAAAGTCACAGGTTATTTACAGCTGCTGTTGAGCACAATCTGAGACTAAGATTTAAAAAAAAAAAAAAAAGTAACAAGGGTCAGGAAATAAAAACTGGCAGGAAAATATATTGGTGTGTTCGGGTTAAAATAACATTTAGAAATAAGTAAACAATCTGAAGAAACACTATTTTGTAAACCTCCCCACCCCTGACAAAAGTACACAGAGAGTGAAAAACAAAGATAGGTTAATTTAATTCAATGACAGTGAGATATAATAGAAGTAGGTGTGGTTCTCTGAATACTTCTCTTCCCAAGAAAAAAAGCAACTAGCAAATAGAATGAATACCAAGAGTTGCCTGAGAGCCAAACAAAGTAATGCAGAAGACCAAGCCATTCCTCCCATCTACAAACAAACGCAAGGCTAATCTGTACACAGGAAGCAGATAGCACCACAGAACCCCAAAGGAGGCACTAGGCCAAGCTACAACCTGTACATATGTCTGTAAGTCTAAGAGTACAGGTTTGAGAACTTCTGGGCTACTACAGATCTGCTGTATCTCCTATTGACCCTAGACAGGTCAAGTTCAGCAACAAAAGAGAGGCTGCACAACCCTGTTGCTTTATCTACCAATCCACTTGTGGACATGGCACATGGTAGAACCCATGAGCAAGACAAGGTAGGGCTGACCCCCACAAAGCACTCTCCTTAGGTTACTCTACCTGCCCTGGTCATCAGTTCAATGACTGGGCCCATACACAAGGCAGAGTAACCAGGGATGTGACATTTGAGATGAGTTCATAGCAAAGGGTTTCATGTTGAACCACCTAAGGTAATTAAATATTATTTCCAATAATCTTGGACATTTAACTTGAACTTTTACAATTTGGTTTAAAAAAAAAAAACAATTTCAAAGATTTTATCCCTTTGAAGAGACAGTGTCTAACCCGACCAAGTTCTGGTCCTCTTAGTTCTCCAGCACTCATTGGACAGTTGCCTGGGTGTCCTTTTTAGGGTTTTATGCTCATCTTAATTTGGAACATTCCAGTAGAGTGTAAGCTGACTCTGTCCACCATAACCTTCAAGGTAACTTGCTACACCAACACTAACAGTTAAGAAATTCAACCAACATTCTTTAAAATAATTGAAGTGAATAAATATTTTGCAAATCCTTTTTTTAAAAGGATTTCTTGGGTATTACATCACTGTATTACACTGTGCTATACTGTCAAAGCAAAACTAAGGCAAGATGAAGAAAACCTGGAAAACAAGGGATGGTTCTAAAAAGCCAGGACCACTGTTCATCCTTAGCAGCTCTCTGTCTTGCTATCACTGCTGTGCCCAACTAGAGAAGCTAGAAAAGAATACTTTGCAAAGAGAGCAACTCTACCTGTCTACTCCAACATAACTTTTCTGGGCTGGCCTTCTTAATCTCATCCTTAACATTAGAACTGCATAATCCAGTATGGTAGCCACCAGCCTCATGTAGTTCTTAACTTAAAGTTTACAATTCAGTTCATTGGTCACACCAGTCTCATTTCAAGTGTCTCTGGCTAGTAGCTCTTAAACTGGGGCAATGCATATATAACGCAGTTCCATCATCACAAAAAGGTCCTACTGGATTGCATCACCTGAGACCAACTGCCATGTTCAGGTGTTGGTATACAAAATCTATGCAATACCAAGGAGGTTTTATCTCCATCATTCACAGATAGCTTCTAGGAGCCATATGGCATGTTCCCATCCATTGTAAAGATGTTAACAAAACAATTTTCAAACACCCCTAAAACCTTTGTACCAGTTATTATCAAACAATTCTGGATAATAAAATGAACATAAAAATGCACATAAAATATGCTAAATACCTTCTTAATTCAGACAAAATGAGATTTCAAATTAAATTTTAAGAAGAGAAAAAAAAACTTACTTCTTTTGGAAAAACATTCTGATTTTAACTTTTCTTCTTGTGCTTCAGTTGCCAACTCCCAGGAGATACAGTGAGATGAAACTGTATCCCACACACACCGGATGCCAGGTCCTGCTGCTAGACAAGCAGCTTCACTCCGGTGTGCTTCACACTGTTCTGAGGTGAATACCAGGATGTCACTGAGAAGGAGACTATTGAAACCACCAAACACATACATGGTGCTAAAAGGAAAAAAAAAATAAAAGGAGAGGAGTAGTTTACCGAAACGTTTATATACAAATGCATGATATGTTTTTTATAATCTTCAGACAAAATGTCCCTGAAGGTCCATCAATTCAGGATGTGATGTGAGTAAACTATAATACATCTACACAACAGCAGTTGGTAGATATAAAAAGAAATATAGATGATTTCTATATACTGCTATGGAGGATATAGTGCTATGTGGAAAAAAAGAAATGCAAAGAAAAGTATAAAATGTATGTGACCATTTATCTAATCTAGTGAGGGAAAAAGGAAAATACACACACAAATTCATTTTTCATTTTAAAAACAAGAACAACAGAGTGCTTGGGTGGTGCAATTGGTTAAGCATCCAACTCTTGGTTTTAGCTCAGGTCATGACCTCAGGGTGGTGGGATCAAGGCCTGTGTTGGGCTCCATGGTCAGCATGGAGTCTGCCTGGGGCTCTTTTTCCCTCTCCCCTGCCCCTCCTCCTCCCTCAAATAAATAAATCTTTAAGAAATTAGAAATTAAAACAAGAACAACAATGAAGCTTCTCTTTAACTTCTCTTCTTAAAAGGACTAAAGACAATAATCAACCTAGGAGCAACGAATATGACTAGTACTTAGACTGTGGTATCTGAAAACCCTTCCCTCCCTGACCCCTCAAAAAAAAACCCTATGACTCTTTAGAGGCAATCCCTAGGAAGTAAGGTTTAAAAATAAAAACAAGAAAAAACAACTGGGCTGAAAAAATCAGCAGTGGTACACTGGGGAGACAGACTCTACAGAATTAGTCTAGGCAAGACACTAAACAAACAGTAACAACAACCCCCAGTAGTGATGGTGGGGGAATCAGAATCCACATCTGATATTATCTAAAAGGTCTGTTTTTCAACAAAATGTTACAATATATGCAGGGGCGCCCAGGCAGCTCAATCAGTTAAGCATCTGCCCTTGGCTCAGGTCATGATTCCAGGATTCTAGAATCAAGTCCTGTGTCGGGCTCCCTGCTCAGCGGGGAGTTTGTGTATCCCTCTGCCTCTCCTGCTTGCTCATGCATGTGCTCTCTCTCTCTTAGAAATAAATAAAATTATAAAATCTTTCAAAAAAATAACAAACTAAAAATACATAAATAAATAACAAAGTGTGTACCAAATAGGGGAAGCAAATCAGTCAATCAAAACTGTCTTTGAGGGGGCCCACATGTTAGACCTAAAAGACAAAGACTTCAAATCAGCTGTTACAAATAGATTTCAAGAAAGCTATGTCTGAAGAATTAAGTCAAAATAGCACATCAATGACTTAACAAGTAAAAAATATCAATAAGGAGACATAAATGGTAAGGAATAATTAAAAGGAAGTCCTGGTATTGAAAAGTGTAATAGGTAAAATGAAAAATTCACTAGGTGAAATGAAAAAAATGTGAATTTAAATTCTGACCAAGAACAAAGACAGAAGCTAAATTAACAAAATCAGAAATGAAGAAGGGACATCATCATTGATTTTATAGAGATTAAAAAGCATATAAAGAAATATTAGGAGCTTTTATACCAACAAATTAGATGATTTAAATGAAACAAATTCCTATTATCAAAACTATCTAATTGCTCAAAAATTAAAAATAGAACTACAATCTGATGTAAAAATTCTACTTCTGGATATATATTCAAAAGAACTGAATGCTAGGACTCAGGCAGATATTTGTACATCCATGTTTATAGCAGCATTATTTGTAATAGGCAAAAGTTGGAAGCAAACCAAGCATCTACTGATAGAAGAATGGAAAAACAAAATGTGGTACACATACACAAGAATGTTATTTAGACTCAAAAAGGAAAGAAATTCTGACACCTGCTACAACATGGATGAATGAACCTTAACAATATTATACTAAGTGAAATAAGCTAGCCACTATAGGACAAATACTGTATGATTCCAACTAAAGGTACCTAAAGTAATCAATTCATAGAGACAGAAAATAGGCTGGTTGCCAAAGAGAGAGGGAGCAGGGTAGTACGGGAAGTTATTGGTTAATGAGTAGAGAGTTTCAGTTTTGCACAATGAAAACAGTTCAGGAGATGAATGGCAGTGACGGTAGTACTTACAATGTGTGCCACTAAACCATACACTAAAAAATGGTTAAGATGGTAAATTTTATGTTATAAAAATTTTATCACAATTTTAAAAACACACACCTAAAAAACCTGCTTAGCATGAAACACAAAATCTGAACAGATAAACCTATCACAATTAAAGACTGAATTTGAAATGTTAATATCTTTCCACAAAGAAAAGCCCCAGACCCAGATGAATTCCACCAAGTCCCAGAATTCCACCGAACATCAAATATTTAAAGTGTAATACCAATCCTTTACAAATCCTTCCCGTAACTAGAGGGGAAAAGAATATTTCTCAACTTATTCTGTCCAGTATTAATCAGACAAATGTATCACAAACACCCCACAAAACTATGGAGCAATATCCCTCATGAATATATTTTGTGGGTGAGGGATATGTTATCCTGGCTATATGTTATCAGGCCTGATTGTGGTGATGATTTCAGAAGTGTATATCAAAGTTATCACTTTAAGTGTATTTAATTTTTGTGTACAACTCTACTTCAATAAAGCTGGTAACAGGTCATATATGCAGAATCACACATTTAAAACAAAAGCAATTGTGTAGTAGCTCCAAGGAAAGTTCTTAAAACGCTATTGTGGGAGGCCAATACCACCAAATGATGCAGTTTGTATCATGGAGAACACTGGGCCATATTTGCCATATACATGGTATCTCTGTCTGTGGAGTGACATTTGCTGGGATATCCTCAATCCTGTCAACCACTGTGCCAGATTAGAACCTAAAGGAAGAGTTAGGCTGGGGACTGTATAGGCAGGAGACGTAACACTATCCTTACATATAATAATCTCTTGCGAAAATCTGAAGAACAGAAACAAGATAGTTTGGCACAAGAGACAGAGAAGAGGATTCTTGAAAATATAAAGGAGAACTTGCTAATAACTGATGTGTACAGAAAAGGAAGGAGCTTCCTTCTTAGGTGAGTTCTCCATCCCTGGACATGTTTAAAGAGGATAACTGCATTAAGTGGAAGTTTTGAACAAATCACTTCAGGATCTCTTCCAACTCTGAGATCTTATGACCTGCCAGGAAGTTTAGAACTAACTCACAGTGAGGCATCAAGTAATTCACTCTCACTTATCTCAATTTCCTTCAAATATACACAAGACTAACTTATTAAAACATAGAGATTTTGTGGCTCTCTAAGCATCTGTTATATCTAAAAATGGACACATTTCAATTACCAAAAATGAACCCCATGTTTAATCTTTAGTCTCTTGGTTTAGTATTGTGTTAAGCAGTCTGGATTCAACTTGTCAATCTGCTGCTTAAACCAAGTAAGCTCCATCCCTCTCCCAGCTGAAAACAGCTGGTGTTTTCAGCAATTCTGAATCCATCTGGTTAACACGTAGCCTATGTGAGGTACACAGATCCCTTCAAAAAAAGGCCTGGAGCAGGCAACTGAAAGGAACAGCTGTGTCTCCGCAGCCCCGGTGGCTCACAGCCAGCTCTTCATCCCACTCCCCTCACAAAAACAGCAACAAAGTGCGGCACGGCTGACCCAATGCTGTGGATCCATCACTTGGAATACAAAGAAATGGTATGAATCAAAGTTTCTCTCTCAGTAAATTCTTTCAAAAACTGAAACTAGCCATGGCCTCTCTTATCATCTGCTGACCCCTCCAACTCTGCCCATACACACACAGATTATTCATAGGCCCAAACATACCACTGTAATTACACAAAAAATGAAAACATTATTATAAGTCAGGCAGCCATTACTAATTTTGAATAGCGGTTAAACTATATCATATGGAAACTGGCAATCTTCTTTGAGTTTGTATAAAACCTCAGAATGTTTTAATAGAAGATCCATTTATTTGCTAAATTACCACCACCATACTAAGAGCTGCCACAATTTAGCTAACACCTATTATGTGCCAAATCCTGTACTAGGAGAACCAAGAGGGCAGATGAATAAAGCAGTGGCCAGGTACCCATAGGCAAGATGATGAAAAAATAGCCCCACTGCTTTTTGGATGAAAGCATTAAGAGGTACTCCTTAGAAAACTTCAGGGTTTTCCTCACTGAGGAAGTATCAACTTACAATTTAAGATGACACTTCAAATTAGTAACGGTGTCAGTCTATACTATCACATGTTCTCACAGAAAAACCACATTTATCACTAAATTACAGCTAAGTGATTACTTTAAAAAGTTGTCACCTTTTCCCAACATCTAAATTCTCAATTTATTTTGAATAAATTGAATTCTGTCAATTCTTCCTTCCTGAAATCCCCAAGACATGTTGCTGGCTCATCTTTCCTAATTCCAGGTCTTCATCTCATCTTGCATCATAACAGAAATTCTGAAAGCCAAAGGAAACCTAACATAATATAGGCATTATAGCATCTAAATAGTTTTAGGACTGATAAGGCTCAGAATTTTAGGTGAAATAAGCAATATTCATAATAGCTGAAACAAAATGGGAAAAATTAAGAACATGATTAGGCTGTTTAACAAATCACAAATCTTTATTTTTATTATTTTTTTAAGATTTTATTTTTAAGTAATCTCTACACCCAATATGGGGCTCAAAATCACAACCCTGAGATCAAGAATTGTATGCTCTACCAGGGGGCATACTCTGCGCCTCTCTCTGTGTCTCTCATGTATGCTCTACCAACTGAGCCAGCCAGGTGCCCCAACAAATCAGAGATCTTTTTTTTTTTAAGATTTTATTTATTCATGAGAATACACAGAGAGTTGAGAGAGAGAGAGAGAGAGAGAGAGAGAGAGAGAGAGACAGGCAGAAACACAGGCAGAGGGAGAAGCAGGCTCCATGCAGGGAGCCTGACGTGGGACTTGATCCCAGGTCTCCAGGATGATGCCCTGGGCCAAAGGCGGCGCTAAACCGCTGAGCCACCCGGGCTGCCCTAAATCAGAGATCTTTAAAGCACACTGTGAAGAACAGGCAGAATGGCCATTCTGGATCTTCCTTCTCCTGGGGCAGATTTATTTAGCTCAGGCCAGGCCTTTTTGAGCGATGAGGGATGCAATGAAATGAAATACAGAATTCAGAATACCCAAAGACTACAGATTTATCTATATGAATCTTCACAATCTCCCCATCTCTGTTCCTCTATCTTATCCTCCATCTGAAGTGCCCTCTCTTTTTTTAAATCTCTCATTACCACTCAGATACAACTATGAGAAACCTGATAACCCAAGTACCACAAACAACAGTGAACAGCAGAGGCATAAGATAGTAACTCCATGTAACTCTTGTTGTCCCGTGCATTCAGTATACCAAACATGGCATACTCCTACATGCTAACAAAATCACCCAACAAACTTGGCATTATAAGTAAATCCATATATTATAAGTAAATCCACACCAGATATTTTAAATATAAATCAGGAAATTCATACAAATATGCAAATAATATGTAAGTCCCATTCCACTTTTTCATGTTCAACTTCATTTTCATTTTAAACACAAGAGAAAAGGAGCAAGTGTTTCTTTAACATTTACCTGTTGTGTAAGACTGCTGAATGGCCAAATCTGTTGACATCATGGTGGAGATCAGGTCTGGGAAGCACTGACCAGCGGTCACAAGCTAGGAGCAAGAAAAACACATTTCAGAAAGAACCACTCTTCAAGATCAGTAGGAACTAGAATCTTCTTTGGGGAGAAGACTGTGACAAGTACAACCTCATAAGATGTATTTCTTGGTTTTTCTTATCACACCATTATTTCTGAGGTAAAATGTGGCAACAGCAGAGGAGCAGGGCATGGAAGAAGGGTAGGTAGGACAATACAGTAGTTCTAATTCATGAATGCATCTAACATCCATGATACTCACATCACTCACTCTGTTGCCCATCAATTTTAACTAAAACACTTAACAAGAAATTTTATAATTTTCAAAACTCATTTAAGTAAAATATGTGGGTTCCATAATTTTTTTCCACTCCATATTGATTTGTCCAAATTCAGTAAGTAAAACAGGAAAATACAGGCAAAAAATGGAAATAAATAAATAAATAAATAAATAAATAAATAAATAAATAAAATTCCAACTTCATCTAATGTTTTAAAAGTCCTTTCCTTTTTATTTTTTATTTTTTTATTTTTTAAAGATTTTATTTACTTAATCATGAGAGACACACAGAGAGAGAGGCAGAGACACAGGCAGAGGGAGAAGCAGGCTCCATGCAGGGAGCCTGATGTGGGACTCGATCCCAGGACTCCAGGATCACGCCCTGGGCCAAAGGCAGGCTACTCAACCGCTGAGCCATCCAGGCGTCCCAGTCCTTTCCTTTTTAGAACACCTAGGATCTACTGATTTTCCTTTGTTCTGATTCATGCTATCAATTCTTTTCTGGACCTTAATCCAACTAGCACTGCAGTACCCTGCTAACCTCACTCACACTCCCTCTCTGAAACACTCATACATTCACACTCACTAAGCAACCATTTTACTTGATCCAGACTTTTACCGAACCTTAACAGCAGCTTTCACTTCCTTTCCCCAGCCTAGACTCTGTGGTCTTCTTCACATGGAGAAGAGGCCATCAACTCTCATAGCTTCCTGCCCACCCACTTTGTTTCCCTTCCTAAAACCACAGGGTGGCAAGGACTCCTTCCTTTTGTTCCACCTGACTTTTAACACAGCATTATGCCTTCTCTTCCCTTCACAAAGAAGTGGGGGTTATTTTTTTTTTTACTAAAATAGTCAACATTCATGGTGTACATCTCATCTTACATTATTGCAGTCTGGATTACTCCTCCCTGTCTAGAGGCTAACAAACGACATCTCTGTTGCTAAATCCAAAAGGCTCTCCAGTCCTTGTTCTCCTTAAGTCCTCTGCAGCCATTGTTAACCACTCTCTCATGGGTCACCAATCTTACCTTCAGTTCCTCCTGCTTCTCTGACACGCTTGCATAGTGTTCACTCTCCTTCAGACTGCTTTATCCATCCATTCTCTGGCTCTCTGCTCATCCCTGATGATACATGCTCCCTAGAGACTCACCCTTGCGTAGGGCTTCCCAATGACTATGGCTCGGTCCCATAGTCATCTCCAGCTGAACATGGCCCCAAACCCGAATTACTCCCTTCCTCCCAACCCAGACCCTCTCTTTCTACTTCCAGCCTTGGTAAAAAGCACCATCTACCATGGCCACACCAATTACCTGGCCATAAAGATGTGCACCCCAACAATCCTCAAGTTCCCAGCAGTTCTCAAACCCATCTCTCTCTTTACCCTTACTGCCACTTCAACAGCCTTGGTTCCAACACTCCTCAGGACTTTGCAACAGCCTCCTAACTCCTATCTTGCCCCTTCCCAATTACTCACCACAATGCCACAAAAAGATCTTCTTAAGGCACAAATATCCTATGACCTCTTCTGTAAGATTCTTCAAAACCCCAAACTCCTCAGCATGACATAACAGGTCTCTCAAGATCTGACTAGACTGGTAGCTGCTTTCTTCTCTAGTTCTGCTGGAACCCATTTCTCCCTGATGTGCAACTGATAGAGCCAAAACTACTCAAAGGCCCCAAGTATGTGGTAGGGTCTCTTTTTGCTTCTGTGTCTCTGTACAAGGGCTTGCTTCACGTGGGAAGTGTTACCTAACTTCACCTAGCTGACTTCCTCGGAATCCAGACCCTACTCAAGATGGCTTTCCCTGCCCACAACTCTTACTCTCTTGAATTAAGGCATGCCCACAGATGCTGTCAGATATTCATCTCAGAGCAAATGACACCCTGAATTGCAATTGTATTGTCTGCTCAGTTCTCTGCCTCCACTATTATGAGGCCAAGCTCTGTAATTTACTCATCTTATAATCCCCAAGCTCAGGGGTGGGCACATATACATCTGTTTAAAAAAAAAAAAAAAAACAAAAAAAACATATGATGATACTTGCACAAGAGATTTTCCCGTATTTATTTTGCTTGAACAAATACTGCCCTCTTATGGTCAAATATATTACCACACCAAAAATTTTAAAATTCCAAGTTAGGGGATCCCTGGGTGGCTCAGCGTTTAGCACCTGCCTTCAGCTGGGGGCGTGATCCTGGGGTCCTGGGATCAAGTCCCATGTCTCCCATGTCATGGTCCCTGCATGGAGTCTGCTTCTCCCTCTGCCTGTGTCTCTGCCTCTCTTTCTCTCTCTGTGTCTCTCATGAATAAATAAATAAAATCTTTTAAAAATAAATAAAATAAAATTCCAAGTCAAAGTAACTTCAGGAATATGTTTTTTAGGGAATGAGATAAAGCTATTAGTTAAACCAACTTAACGTAATGCTAGTGGTCACAACTACATACAACTATTATATAAGGCATTCACCTGTAACATAGGAGAGGCTGGTCACCCAACTCACCCTCAAAAATTAACATCCAACCAATTAATGGGAGTGATTTCACTTAAAAGAACTTAATATAGAAAAATATATTAAACAGTGAAAGGGAGAAAGGAGGAAAACTGAGTGGGGAAAAATTAGGAAGACAAACCATGAGAGACTCCTAATGCTGGGAAACAAACAAAGGGTTGCCAGAGGGGAGGCTGGAGGCGGGGATGGGGTAACTGGGTGACAGGCACTAAGGGGAGCATGTGATCGGATGAGAACTAGGTGTTTTACTATATATTGGCAAATTTAATTTAAATATTTTTAAAAAGAAATCAAATACAGACGTAATGCTTTTTTCAAAAAATAGATTTACAATATTTGCCACATGAATGTTAAAAAATACCATTTGGACCTCTTTCAAATGGCCTGACCATTTTTAGCCAGTGCTATTTTCAGTTTGTTTTAAAATGTTGCTTACAGGCACACCTGGGTGGCTCAGCTGGTTAAGCATCCAACTCTTGATTTTGGCTTTAGTCATAATCTCAGGGTTATGAGATCAAGTCCCCAGTCTGGCTCTGTGCTGAGCATGGAACCTGCTTAAAGATTCTCTCTTTTCCTCTCCCTCTACCCCTCCATCTCCTGCTCTTGCTCTTTCTCTTAAAAAAAAAGAAGAAGAAGAAGAAGAAGAAGAAGAAGAAGAAGAAGAAGAAGAAGAAGAATAAAAGAAGAAAAGAAAAGAAAAGAAAAGAAAAGAAAAGAAAAGAAAAGAAAAGAAAAGAAAAGAAAAGAAAAAAGAAAATGTGGCTTATAGACAAAAATTCTTGAAGGGATGCCTGGGTGGCTCAGCGGCTGAGTGTCTGCCTTCGGCTCAGGGCATGATCCCAGGTCTGGGGATCAAGTCCCGCATGGGGCTCCCTGTAAGGAGCCTGCTTCTGTCTCTGCCTGTGTCTCTGCCTCTCTCTCTGTGTATCTCACGAATAAATAAATAAAATCTTAAAAAAAAAAAAAAAGATTCTTGAAGTTAAAATGGCTTTGGGAAACTTACCAATATCATAAGCCATGAAATCTGAAGAGAAGCATTTGGCACCATGGCTCATGGATGTGTCGTTGTGTGTGTTTCCTCCAAACACCAGCATGGTTCCACTCACTATCACAGCTGTGTGCAAGTAACGGAAAAATCGGCTGTCCTTAAGAATGGTCCTTTTGAGTTTATTTAAAAATAATAAATAAAAGGTTAGTTTTGTAGAATGTTTATCATCTATTTGCTAATACAAACACAACCATTTTTTAAACTTCAGATCCAAATGTGCAAATACTTCTAGATTTTTCTCTCTATATGAGTAACTTTCTCAACAACAAATAGTAAAATCTTAAATTAGGCCTACCAGAATTTTTATTAAAATTAGAATTTTTATTAGAATTTTAATAAAACGTTTTAAGAGTCTTAAGAGTATTCAGTCATAAGGTCTGAATATGTTATAATCCCAGTTTCTGGGTAGAAATCACATAAAATACAGACAAAAGCTTATATGCAATGCCTTAATAATAAGACAAAGGCTAGAAACCAAAACTTCCAACTGCCCAGTCTCTGTACATCCACGTGACAGAGTATATACACAGCCTGTAAAAATGACAGACATTTTAATGAGAGACAGAATGTAAAATGATATCTACAGCATGGTCTCAAATATGTAAAGAAATACAAAAAGAAAGAAGAGAAACCACTGCTTTATATAATGATATCATTTCATAACTCAAATTTGCTTTACATTTGTTAAAATTAGCATACTTTTTATATAGTTCACTTTATAGCAGAGGGAAGAGACCATCTCTGTTTCATGATGTCATGCAACGATGCCACTAGCTAACCCCAATGATGACACCTTAGTCATCAAGAGAAGGTTAAAAAATTGATATATTTTACTTAATTATAGCAATGTGCATACGTTACAGCTTTGTAGAACAATTTATTCCTCAGGATTTTGACCAGCTAAATTTTTATAGAGGTATGGAGAATGTGAAAATTGAAAAACCAGTCAAAAAAATATCAAGCATTTTCTAATCAATTTTCTAATCAATCTACTACAAAATTATAAAATAATGCTACAAAATAAATACTGGCTACATTATGACCTTCTGCTTCTTTCCCATCCCAATTTCTCTATCTACAGCGCTGAAGAGAATAATCTGTTAGGCCTGAAAACAAAAATATTGCCCAATATTTTCCCGATGAGTGCCAGAACTCACACCTTAGAGTAAAAGCTCAAGAAAAAGCACTCACCACATCTGCGTATCCACATCATATCTGTAGAGATCATCTGCGAGCCGGTATTTATTGGCGCTGAAAGCCTTGTAGCCCCCATGAACATATAGAGCCCTGGTCTTGCGGTCATAGACACTGCTATGGCCATAGCCCCCTTGGACAAGGGCACCCTGGGTAGGTAATATACTCCATGTGTTCTTAGCTAGAAGAGGAAAACAGTTAAAGGCAAATGTTGTAGGCTCCTACTCTAATACTTAAAATAACCAATTAGTTTAAATAAGGGATTTCAGGAGACTCGACACTTAAAAATTTCTTTTATCTTTTTATTTTTAAAGAAAGGCTATTTAAATCTTATAACAAAGCCAGCAAAAGAAACAGTCAACAAAACTAAAAGACAACCTACAGAATGGGAGAAGATATTTTCAAATGACATATCCAAGATCTATAATGAACTTATCCAACTCAACACCCAAGAGACAAACAATCCAATCATGAAATGGGCAAAAGACATGAAAAGAAATTTCACCAAGAAGACATACACATGGCCAACAAGCACATGAAAAAATGCTCCGTATCCCTTGACATCAGGGAAATACAAATCAAAACCACAATGAGATACCACCTCACACCAGTGAGAATGGTGAAAATTAATAAGACAGGAAACAACAAATGTTGGAGAGGATGTGGAGAAAGGGGAACCCTCTTGCACTGTTGGTGGGAATGTGAACTGGTATAGCCACTCTGGAAAACTATGTGGAAGTTCCTCAAAGAGTTAAAAATAGAGCTACCCTATGACCCAGCAATTGCACTACTGGGGATTTACCCCAAAGATACAGATGCAGTGAAAAACCAAGACACCTGCACCCCAATGTTTCTAGCAGTCATGTCCGCATTAGCTGAACTGTGGAAGGGGCCTCGGTGTCCGTATCAAAAGATGAATGGATAAAGAAGATGTGGTCTATGTATACATTGGAATATTACTCAGCCATTAGAAACAACGTATAGCCATCATTTGCTTCAACATGGATAGAACTGGAGGGTATTATGCTTAGGGAAGTAAGTCAATCGGAGAAGGACAAACATTATATGGTTTCATTCATTCAGGGAATATAAAAAATAGTGAAAGGGATTATAGGGAAAAGGAGAGAAAATGAGTGGGAAATATCAGAGGGTGACATAACATGAGAGACACCTAATTCTGGAAAACGAACAAGGGGTAGTGGAAAGGGAGGTGGGCGGGGGGTTGGGGTGACTGGGTAACGGGCACTGAGGGGAGGCACTTGACAGGATGAGCACTGGGTGTTATACTATATGTTGGCAAATTGAACTCCAATAAAAAAAATACCAAAAAAATTAACAAAGCCAGGTGGCCAAACATCAATCTGTTAAATGTTCTGATGTTCTAATGTATCATGTAGGAAAATAATTAAATTTAAAAGACTCAGATTTCCTGCAATTGAACACTTAATACCCCGTGACCTTCAGTGACCAATATACAGATATACTTTATGGACCTACTTTCTCAAACTATCAATTTATAGGTGATGCTCCCATACCACCACAAGAGATATAATAAAATTTAACCAATGGAAAGATTACACACTAAGGGGAAATCATGGTCCATTAAACCAATTCCTCAAGGGTTATCTAAATTTTTATTTCTTCAGAATATTAGTTGTTCCAAACCATTTTTACTTATTTATTCTCAACACTGAAAGCATTTAGTGCCATCTTTGACTCTTCACCAAATTGACGGTAACAAATATATACTACATAGTGGCAACAATAATCTGAATTTCACTGGTAACACAACATTAACTGCATTCCAAGACAAAGTACTGGGTCAGAGTTAGGTGGAATCTTGTTAAACAGTCATAATAATAAGCGTAAAGGTTTTAAATTTGACATTCAAAAAGGATCCACTAGAAAAAATATACCTACCCAAGTCATATTCCTGTACATTGCTTATATATCCATAGAGAGGGCAATGACCAAAGATGACCAGCATGACTACTCGGCCAGTTTTCAATGTGACAATGTGTGCTGAGTGTCCGACCACTGCATACTGCTCCTTTGCTTTGGGAGTCAACAATACCCACGACTCATTATGAATATGGAACACTCTCAACTCATTGGTCACATTCCCTGTTGAATCAATTTTTCCTCCATACATGTATATTTTATCCTAGGGAAAAAAATGTAAACAGAATTATAAAAAACATCAAAAGCATCAAATCTAAGAATGAAAAAGAGAAGTTCAAAACCTCGATATTATTCTTAGCTTAAGAAGTGCTAGTAAAAAATGTACCTTTCAGTGAATTATTAAGAGAAGAATGAAAGGCACAAAATAAAACATCATACTCTGTATCTCCAACACTTCACCACTGTTCTTGGACTTCCTCATATGAGATCTCTTACTGTATAAAATGGCTTGGAAAAATTAAGTTGAAGAGTTCCCTCACCCTCCCATAATCCAAAAAAAAAAAAAAAAAAGGAAATGAAAGTGATTATTCAGTTATATTGCAATGTGGCTATTCTCAGCTAAACCTGCTCATTAACATAATAGCTAATTTACACAGTATTAATTTTTAACCATTTAGTACGACAATCATAATATCCTGGTACAATTTCAATCCATTAAAATCTGTCAGGTTAAATTGGTTTCAACTTCAATTTTCCACTTACAACTTAGCCAGTTATATACACTCCTCCATAATAGAAAGTTTCCCTTTAACTAAAAACCAAAACTGAAGTTAAAATTATAGAGACATAGAGTAGAATGGTAGTTCCCAGGGACTTGGGGCGGGGGCAGGAGGGGAGCAGGGATATGGGAAATTATTGTTCCATGGGCAAGAGTTGTAGTTTTACAAGATGAAAAGAATTACAGAGATGCATGGTGTGATAGTTATAATTAGGAATGTATTTAATAATAAAAAAACTAAAAAAAAAAAGGAATGTATTTAATACCACTGAACTTAAAAATGATTGAGACAGGGGTGCCTGGGTGGCTCAGTTGGTGTGCCCGCCTTTGGCTCAGGTCACGATCTCAGGATTCTGGGGATCCAGCTCCATGTCAGGCTCCCTGCTGGGCAGGGAGTTTGCTTCCCTCTCTCCCCGCTTCCCCACTGCTTGTGTTTGGGCATGCATACTCTCTCTCTCAAATAAATAAAAAAAATATTTTTTAAAAAATGGTTAAGACAGTCAATTTTACGTTATATGTATTTTACACAAGAAAAAAACCTTAGAGACAAAACCCCAATACTATATAGCTTTTCAACCACATAATACAATAAAGTAAGTGTGGAAGACTTGAGTTTCTAGCCTGGTACAAAATGGAGACATTTTACCTTGTATAATGCTAAAGAATGGCCATATCTGACAACCACACTGTTCACAGAACGGTTCAAGGCAAGCCACTCCCTAGAAGCAAGGTCATACCTACAAAACAAACAGATCACATTTTCACCAAAATGACACAACAGAGTATCTTATATTCTTCTATTTGTGATATCATGCAATTTGGAGATGCTCATTACACATGCCATGCAGATAAGGCATCTCTGAAAACAAACAAACAAACCTCACAGCTGTGTCCACAGAGCATATCAGAACTTGAGTAGGAGGGCTGGACTGCACAGCCTTGGGATGAGGGGAAAAAAAACCTACTGGAAGTCTCTAGTGCTTCCTGAAAACCTCTTCTAGACACACAGTCTAAATCACTTGCAAGTTGTGTTATAATGAAGGGACATTTACTGCCATAAATTCTCTTGTTTAACCATGTGAAATTGAAGACAAGTACTGAAAAAGGAATGATGATTAAGTAAAAGATAATTCCTAACTTTTCCTTTTCTTTATCTCATTGATTTCTTAAAGTCATATTTTTAAGAAAGCTAGAATATCATTTGGCATTTCAATTTTATTATGAATTCACTTAAAGATTTTTAAAATACAAACATTAAGTAAACATCATACCAGACATTTTTCAATGCATATATACAAACAGGAGAATACATTGACAGTATATATTTATACAAAGGGGATCATGCTATAGATACTTTTAATAAATGGTGTTAATTTGTATTTAATTTAATAGAAAAAAGAAACCCAAAAGAAACCAATGCTTTTGTTCTACTTTAAAAATGTTTATTTTCACTAAGTTTCCCTGAGTAATCTGAGTTTTTTGTTTTATGGAAAACATTATTATGCAAACAAGATATAAGAAAGTCTTGATATAATAAGCAAAAAAGGATAAAACAAATGTCCATCAAGAGAAAATGGATCAATAAATGATCGTATAACCATATAATAGAATTTTAGAGTGAAAAATAAATACACTCAAACAATACCTTCTCAACACAAATCTCAAAACAATTTGTTAAGCCTAAAAATCAAACTGCAGAATACTGTTTCTGTAATGACTAAACAGAAAATTTATTAACTCTAACATATGTTCGTATATATTAAAAGTCTAAAGATATGTAAGTGAACAAATGACAGCACAAAAGCAAGATACTGATTATCTTTGAGACTGGAGGGGGGCATGGCAGGGGTCTTTAATTAGATTAGCAGTGTCTTACTTCCTAACCTAGGTGTTGTATGCATTAGTATTCATCATTCTTCTCCAAATCTTTCCTTCTGTCTTAAATATTTTATACATGATCTAAAACAAAATGGTGAGGGGTGCCTGGGTAGCTCAGTAATTGAGTATCTGCCTTTGGCTCAGGTTGTGACCCAGGGTCCTGGGATCAAGTGCCGAATTAGGCTCCCCACAAGGAGCCTGCTTCTCCCTCTGCCTATGTCTCTGCCTCTGTGTGTCTCTCATGAATAATTAAATAAAACCTCAAAAAAAAAAGAAGTGACATTTATTGAATACGAATACTATATTAATACCAGCTATTTTTTGCATTCTTTGAATATTCCACATTTTAAAAAATACATGAAAAATTATTTAGAAGTTAGATTCACTTTTGTTTTTAAGTTACATACAAAATTAAGTTAATTTTGGACAGAATCCATTAACTTCCTGCTTTGAAAGTTGAAAATCTTACATTTCCTCCCATTTCTTCTCCCAGTTTTTGTTATGCAAACTTTACCCTGTCCAAGTTTATAATATTCACATTCCACTCTATTACTATGATTCCATATCATATATTTTAGCTGAAGCAATCTCTTCACCATCGTCCTCTTACCACAACTTCTCCTTGAGTCTTTAATTCTTATTTGGCTGTATTTTATTGCCAAGTGGTTGTTTTCTGGTGGCGCTCACATGTGCTCCTTCTCCTAAGTTCTCTTATGTTTATGAGTATCTGCTTGCTAGCTCTACAGGTAAATGACATCTTGGCTGGGTATAATATCTCGGCCATCCTTTCTTGATATCAGGACTTTGCAGATGCTGCTCCCTTGAATAACAGTGGTAGTAAATGCTGTGTTGGAGAAGCCCAAGGCCAGTAAGACTTTTTCTCCTTCCATGTGCTTTGCTTTTCTGTTTGGAAGGCTGAAGAACTCTCAGTTACTCTCATTCTCTCTCCTTTTCCCTCTCTCTCCTTTCTTCTCTATTTTTTAAAGTCACAGTATTATATTTTACTTAGGTAGAAATAACTAAAATCCATGCAGGGTAATGTCTTTACAAAATGGACTACATACCACTGCAGTAATTTTATGGAGCTCTGGCTGTAGAAGGTCTTTCCTGAGGACTAGCCTGGCTTCTGAAAACATATAATACCCCTAATGCTCAAGTCTGTCTCTGTAAGCTTGAAAGAGAGGAAAGAAAACAAAGGGAGCCCAAATCTCTAGATGGTTTAATTCACTTCTCTTTCAAGTGACATGGAGGGTGCTCAATCTGTATCTTAATTAATTTTGCTCCTCTTAGTCAATGACAGGTCAGCTCACGAGCTTGTTAGAAACAGTAAGGCACTGGCAGGTCCCGATAACCTGGCACAGATGAACTACCAAAAGATCTTACATAACAGGTTGTGACTCTTTTCACAAACCAGAGATGCAAACACAAGTCAAGAACAATACTGATGCAATAAAACATAAGAAATTCTAATCACCAAAATTCTCGTGGGAGCTCAGTCCAAGAAAATAGAATACTGAATAACTAGTTCTAAGACCTGGACAAATAGATAAGCAAAGGCAATTTCTGGAATGCAGAAACAAATGTCTTCCAGAACTGCAGCCATCTCTCTCACAAATTCCTCCTTGATGATTGGTATCATGATGACCATCATGGCACTGGGTACATTCTTCCACCACCCATAGTGGCCTGGTATTCCAATCACAGTGTCTGACCATCCAAAGACCATGGCAAAGGCTTAAACATGACACTAGCCAGAGGAGGCACAGAACTACCTGAGGCTTCCCACCCAAGAATTTGTCCTTTGTTCTAAAAAGGACAAATAACTTCTAAAATAACTTGATCAAATCAGATCTTGTTGGACAGCTATACAATTTTCCTAAAACTTCTTGTGCTATTTCTTTTTTTTTTAATTTTTTAAATTTTTATTTATTTACGATAGTCACAGAGAGAGAGAGAGAGAGGCAGAGACACAGGCAGAGGGAGAAGCAGGCTCCATGCACTGGGAGCCCGATGTGGGATTAGATCCCGGGTCTCCAGGATCGCACCCTGGGCCAAAGGCAGGCGCCAAACCACTGCGCCACCCAGGGATCCCTTCTTGTGCTATTTCAATCTGTCCTATTTGTTAGGTTCTTTACTTCACTGACAGCAATTATCTTTATATTAGATCTCCTGTCTTCCATGTGCCTTTGCTCTACTAATTATTTCAACCTGTATTTGCTGGAATGTCTATAAAGCTGTAATTCAATTTTCATTCTAGTTTTTGCTGTATATAATTTATTTACATTTCCTTAGATATGTAATCTCCCATTTCATCTTTGTTATTATTTTCATGTCTTTCGCCTTTTTTTAAATTCAAATTCTCATTAAATTGATGTGCAGCATGAAGCAGTTGGAAGAAATCTCCCTATTTTTCTTCTATGACCAGTTGTCAGCATTTACATGCTGCTTTCTTCCTCTTTATTTTTCCATCATAGAATAATTGCGTTAGCTATAGCATCATTTCTTTCATCTTGCTTGTGGTTAGATAGATATTGCTCTCCAGACATTTGCAAAGTGCAGGTGATTTCTTAATTCTTTTTCTGCAATATCTAAGATAAACTTGTCTTAGCTTATCCTTCCATTTTAGCTTTAGTGTGAAAGATGGTATTTTAAGTTCTATCCACTGTTCTGAAGTCTGAGGATATGCTGAGACTCAGATGGGGGAGTACGCAGCCTATTAGTATAAATCATCCAGACTCTGCTCTCCTTGGAAATTTTAAGTGTCCTAGGTCAAGGCATAACCCAAATCAGAAGCAGCTCTGACATTTGGGCAGAGTCAACCACTCAATCAATTTCCCCTCTTTTCACCCAGACTTTCTCAGCAATAACTTCTCCTACCCCTCCATTACAAGAGCGAAAAAACAATGATTCCCCACGCAGTTTTTGTCTTTCCAGATTTGGGGTTATTTGTAGAGTTCTCAGAATCTCACCATACGGTTTCCATGGGGTAAAAAAGGGGTCAGTGTACAGTTCCTGTGAGTCTGTTTTAAAATTTACTGGATTAGATGATACCCTTCTCCTCATTTGATTACCTGCTGTTCAATTTTAATCAGGCTCCACACTCAGTGCAGAGCCCAACACAGGGCTCGATCTCATGTCCCTGAGATCATGACCCGAGCCGAAATTGAGAGTCGGGTATTTAACCGACTGAGCCACCCAAATGCCCCCTTACTTTTTCTTTTTAAATGTTTTTTTTAAAAACTCCTTTTTGCTTAAGGAAATACAGTGATGAAGTTTCAATTGGAAATATTAACTTACGAGACCAAGACCATTTGTGTAAGAGGACTCTTGGGTGACATAAAATGGGGACTACTTTTTAATGTAAGTAAAAAGTTTTGGGTTAATAGGATTGTGGAAAAAATAGCTCAATTGCTGAAATATGCTTATGTAAGAATATAAATGATGATAAAACTTATAATCTAAGTTCCAGAAATACTTTTTCTAAAAGGAGTCACTATATTTTTACTTTCCATGAGTTAGTAAAAATTTATTTGAAACTACATTAACATTTACATGAAATACATAAAGCTGTAAAAATCATGTTTTGATTAAGTACAAGCAGAAAAAAAATATTACAAATGTAGCTCATGAGGTACACCAGTCACATAAAAGAAGTGACATTAATATTCCCAGAAACAAATATTTGTGAAGGAAATAAATAATTCATTTACTCTTCCGTTCACCTGATAAACACTTATTTGAGCACATTCTATGAGCAAAGCTCTGAGCTAAGTGAGCAAATAAGGTCTCTAACCTTGGAGAACCTAGAGTGGAAAAGGCAAAAAATGAGCAAATGCAACAAGGGGCACACACAGCACTA